CTTGACATTTTCTTTGATAATCAAAAATTTGGATTACATTTTATGAAAGCTAATTTTTTATTACTGTTCTCAAGGTTACTAGTTCAGTACCAGATCATTATCATAATGCCTTTGTTTTTTCATGAATCACAAAAGTATCAGATTTTATTAATATTTTGTTAGAGGAGATATGAGAAAACTAAAAAGTGTTTGAAATTAAAAGAAAACTGTAGCTGTTCTGTTGAAAAATATAAAACATGTCCTTTTGCTAAAAATTTTGATTTCTTTGCTTGAAACTATACCAACTCCAAGCGAGTAATCTTTCTCTTTTTTTGTGACACCCACAAGTGCGGCACTTGATCTTATCTTGCCACTTGCCACCGCACTCGGATTGTGATTGAGTATGTGCAACCGAGCCAAGGGCCAGGAGACCTCATGGCACATGGCCATCGTCTGGTTGCCTTTTGTTTGGACACTTTTCGGGAGGGTGAATGATGAAAATTTCGATGATTCCCATTCAACAATGCCAGTTTATTGGGGAAAGGCAAAAGGAATTTAATTTTGTGCGAAACTTCTGCTTCTCACACCCAAGGACATAGTTGTCATCGGCGCTGCATCAGATGTCCCTCAGCATCGACACCCTCCGGAGTCCGGAGTCCGGACACCCAGGACAGACCAGACAATGGGCGGTTCACAAAACCCAATTTGTTGCAAATAAAATAAAAAACAATGCTGGCAAGCAATGCAGGTTTCGGAGGACTGCTCCTTGTTGCACCATCAGCAGGTGCAGCAGGAGTCAAAGCTTAAGCAATCGAGCAAATTGCCACTCGACATCTGCTATAGTTTGCAATTCACTTTGGCACTGAGGTTCGAAGTCGAGATTAGAAACCGAAAAACACATTTGACATAATTTCACTGTTTTCCGACCCTGTGCTGTATTTACGATTCGGTTATGCAAAGTCTGTCCTTTCCACATAAAAAAGGGAACCTTACAATCAGCTTACCCACTCAAAGACAATTCTATACATATATATAAATATTTTCCATTTCAAACAGGTAATCGATTTTCATGCTTGTGGCGAAATGTACAAAAGAACTGAAAGGAACCCAAAAGTAAACCAACTTTGTTGTCTGTTTCGTTTGTTTTCATTCTTATGTTTTTTCCTTGGGTCCTGGATTTCGGTTTCACCTCCAGCTCCTGCTTTAGCTCAAGCTCCAGCTCCAGCTCCAGCCCCAGCTCTTCATCCTATATTCCTATGCCCTCTTGTGAGTGCTGGATGTGGGTATCGTGTGCGTATACTTGATATTTATGTTGAAAACTTAAAGCAGTTAAGAGCTCGCGTGCTTAAAATATTCCATCGGTGTCTGACAGCCAAGTTTATCCAACTTGTTGATTTACTTTTTACCCCACATCCTGGATCCAAAGTTAAACCACACCAGTGTTTCAGTTTGCCTCGCTTTCTTCGGGTTTGCGTTCCCCATTTAAAATGAAACCTGCCTGGAATAATCACCGCCAGAGATCGTGTTTTGCTTTTGATCTCTCCAATGATTTGCATAACATAAAATCCACTACAAAATAAAACGCAGTCTTGGTTGATAAAACTTCAGGTTGAAAGTAATCCATTATTATAAATGGGAATGTTTTCCTTTGGTAGTTTAAAGTCTAATCCATCTTTACAGAACTCAATAAAAACATTTCATGTTTTACTTATTTAAGACTATAACCCAGTCTGCAAAAAAACTTGTGAATGCTTCATACAAATTTCTATGCTATGCATTTCCACTGAATTGGCCCCAATCGAACATAAGAATCTCAGTAAAAATATTCAAAAGCCCAAAAAGAGCACATGTGGCCAACAGGGATGACAAGAACGAGAAAGATTCCAATTACGGTGGCTAGTGAAATATTTTTTTTGACAAGTATTCAATGAATTTCATTCGAGATTTGTAACTCTGAACTCCAGGCAGCCAGACTCCGAGCATCCAGACGTCTGCAGGCAGGAAACGAATTAGAAATGTGTAAAACAGAAGTTGCTCAGCCGCTGCCGGATCGGGGGCATGGGCCCCTGGCATGGGGCAAAAATGGCAAGTGAGACGTGAAAAATATTCCCCTTTTCTGCGGCTGCACAGGAAGGAACAGGAATCGAGAACTGAAACTGTAAGCCTGACCGGAAGGGGAAAAAATTATTTCCGCCGTAGTCCGGGTGGGGCGATAATTCTGCGGGATTCGAGAACTTTTTATGCAATCATTGGGCGAATTGTCAGTTAACTTGGTCTTGGAACAGCTGCCACTGCAGCTGCAACCAATTCATTTCATCGAATTATGGCCGTATTCGCAGACTCCTTGGTCTCCCACATTGCATCTACATAATTTTGGACATTATTCTCCTTCGCCCGCCACAGCCACCGAAAAAGTTTCAGTTCAAATACCGAGAAAAAATAACTTTGTCAAAATGTTTGAACAAACTTCTCCCAGAACAGGGAGCGTTGGAAAACGAGCTGAAGAAGTGGAAAAAATTATCACTATTGTAGCAAATTTGTTGGGCGCCTGTGAAATTTGTTTCACTCCTTGGTTTTGATGGAGGTGACGTTGGCTTTGATAACAAGTCTCATTTCGTTGCCATCAACAACGCCGGCGTGTCTCTGTCTAGTCGTGCATATAAAATGCAAAAAGCGTAATTTAAATATATTAAATTGCAAAACAAAAACTGTGCAGCAGACTTTCAACAGGGAAAGTGGAGCAAGGTCGTGAGGTGCACAGAATGGCTGAAAGGTAATTGTTCAACTACAATTTATAAAAATAAAATAGTTGTCGAGAGATATAAATGTTTGCTTTTGAAAACCCACAAGACCATTAAAGATAAATACAAATCCTGTTCATTTAAAAAATACAATATAGCTTGCTTGAGGGCTCTCATTTTGAAAAATTTGCCAAGATTTCCCCAAAAGAAGTGCTGCAACCCTTGGCTGGCCCCAAGCTTTATCCTCGATTAACTGACTCGTGGCAAACTTTTTCCTTGACAAATGATATTCAAATGAGCTGCATTTGAAAAGTTAACGGTGAACGGTGCCCAAAGCAAATGTCACAAAATTGACAGGATACCCGAAATGAAAAGAAAAACTGACGCAAGTCGGCAAATTAAATATGCCAAGAGGCAAAGGCGAAATCCGAGCCGGCCAAAAGAACACCAAACTTTTGGCTTACAAACATTCCTAAACTCTTCACGCAGCCATCCCCAAGCCCCAACTTCCAAGAAAATCCTCCAATCCCAACTAATGTCCAAAGATGGCAAATTCGCTGCTTAAACGGCTAGAGAGCCTCGAGCTTTGAACGCTTTGGCGGCAACTTTAAGTCGCATTTGGTTTCCTAATGCGGCTCAGACGGCTTCCCATCCCCCTGCAGAACGCGTTGGCCAAATTGAAATGAAATTGAATTTTAGTCAGAGGTCGCTGGAGCGGCGGGGGATGAGAAGAAAAAGTTGACGCGGGTGTGGCAGTTTTATTTACAACTATTTCTCATGTGTGTGCTGGGAAAATGCAAAAGAGTTTAATTTGCAATTTGTCGCCCTCATTCAACGCTTAACTTTTCACTCGGGCGGTGTTTGTGGTTGCATATGCAAATGCCTTGGCCTGCCCCCCAGTGCCCCAGCTCCAAGCACCGTCCCTGGTCTGCCTCACCCTTCTAACATGACCCGCAGCCCTGCATATGCGATAAAATGTACAAAGTTTTGCGTTAAGGCCCCACTTGAGCTGGGCTCGGAGTTGTTGCCGCTGGCAAGTGCCCTGCCAGTTAGTTAAACGCCTTTCAACGGCGTGGTTAGCCAAGCGCAGACCTTGAAATGCCAGTTACCAGCTACCCAGTTTCCACTCCTGGCCAGAAGCTAAAGCTGGTAACAGTAGTTGTTAGCTGGTAGATGGTAGATGGTAGCTGGAAGCTGAAGCCACTCGAGCGTCTAACCGGCCAGAGTAAACTTTTCTGCGGCGAATGCTTTAAAAAACCATTCCGCAAAAGTCATTCCGTAAGTTGGTCCTGCACTCGAACACACACACTCCACTTACATGTTGATTTGGCAAACAAAATGTTTTAATTGAATAACACTTTGCTTGGTGGCAAGTTCAAGCACGGCACTTGCCAACTGGGCGTATACTCAATGCGTTCGTATACTTGATATTAAAACATTCCATTTTGTGAATAAATATTTCCAAAGCTGGTCAATCAGATTTGTGTAAAACAAATTAGCCCCGTGGGTGGGATATAAAAGTAAGCTGCAAAAATTCAACATTTAACAGTTTCTAATAATTTCCAAATATTTTCACACACTTTATTCACACTCCGCCGCCCTGCCCTCGCATGTGAACTTATCCATGCAAATTGAATAGGACTTTATTTAATTTGGCGTGGAATAAAAAGAAAGGACGGCGGTTGGGCGGTTGGACACAAAAACAAAAATATGCTGAACATTTTGGTAATTTAGTTGAACGATTTGCATTTGCGTTGGGGAATAATTTCTGCACTTTTGCGCCCACTGGCTGGCAAAATTGAATTTGTGAATAACAAAAAAGGCAAATGCATATGAAATTCGAGCACATCTATATGAATTTAATTAAATGCTGTTGAATGCGAAAACATTTTTACACACAAATCGTTTCTCACGCAGCAGTATTTGCATTGATTGATGTTGTATTTGGTGATTTATTGAACCTGAGGTTTGTCAGCCAAACAACAATATCTTTTGTCGCCTCGTCCTCGTCCGTCAATCCCTCATGCCCTTCAATCCCCGAATCGCCCAGTCCTCAGTCCTGCATCTCCTCAGTTCGCCTCCCGTTCAATTATTGTGATTGTCAGTCGGTAATGGCAACGGGGTGTTTTGTACAATGCATATTTATTTAGCCGGCTTTCATTTTGTATTTCTTTGAACCGCTGTGATTGATGTGGCCATGCCATCACCGAGTAACTGTGACTGCAGCTGCCCGGAGATGGCAGTCGGAGGACATATGAATGTGGTTGGTCAAAAACTCAATTTAAATTGCGTTTGTGTTCACACATCGCATCTGTCAGATGCCTGTCAACGAACCCTTTATTCGAACACCAACTATTAGTAAAATAAATTTGCGTAAATATCAGTTGTCAAGGGAGTTGGCGAACGGCTCGCTGGAGCTATCCTCGTCCTCCGCGTCCGAATCAAACGAGTTCTCCGGAATATCGTACAGCCGTACCATCGGCTTGTTGGGATCCTTCACAATCAGGTATTTTCCATCCGGTTGCTTCATCACTAAGTCGATCAGACAGCGCAAGATACCCCAGGCGTTGTCCATGTTCAGGTTGATCTGGGTGGCGAATTCTTGGGGCTTGAACTGCTGGGTCCCAAGGATAACATGGCGCAGATGATCCCTCGGAGTCACCCGGGAAACATAGCCCAGTTTAAGCTGATCAGACCCAGCCAGCACCGCCTCCACCGTCCAGCGGGCCAACTTGCAAGAATTATTGCGTAACTCGGAGGCCAAAACTGCCCCGCGCTGGGTGTCCAACTTTTGGCGCCACTCCACGCTGTTGGCTGCCTTCGAGTCCCATTCGTTTAGAGCCTTGATTGAAAGGAATTGGAGTTCCCCGTTGGGACCCTGGATCACCCCGTTGTGCTTGCAACGGGCCACCAAAACCAAGTCATGGCCCAGCTCCCATTGCCGGTAGCGATAGCCCAGGGAGGCCAAGTCCACGCCAGGTTCCTCAAATGGATTCGGTTCGTCAAACTTGAAACGGGGCTCCTGCTCTCCCACACGAAGAACCTTTTGGGAGGAATAGTAATCACAGATTTAATTGGATAATTGGTAACTAAATTGGGGTTACATTTAGAAGTTATTACACTGAATGACAGACCAATTAGAAACATACCTGTTGACCGAAATTGTGGTTAATCAGAGTGGCCTCCATGGCCAGGCTGTGGGCAGAGTTAATGGATCCCTCTTCATCCATGGGTGGATCCAACGACGTCTCGTTTACAGTCAATAAGTCGAACTGGCCATTGTCACGCTTATCGAGGAACACCTTGGCGCCCAGCTTCTCGATGACCACGTCCCAGGAGTAATTGGAACGAGTGCAGCACATAATAGTAGCCAAAATCTCGTCGGTGGCAAATATATTGCCCATTGTCTTGGAGAGACGTCGAATCACTGGATCATCAGTAGTGGTCACTGTGTGAACAATGCGATCCATTTTCAAGAGCGGACGTTCATTTCGCAAATTAATGCGGTCGTAGACCTTATCGTAATACTCCAATGAACCACAGGTGACGATATCCTGACCCTCCTTAATGTTTGGAAGAGCCAGCTTAAGCAAACGTGGAAATTCAATCTCCTCCAGAGACACCCAGTTGGGACGCACCAGGACGGAACTCTCCCGAAGACGTGAAGGAGCATTTCGAGCAAAGCGACGTCCTTGATTGCGACGAGAATCGCGACCTTTTCCGTATTTGGTGCTGCCGCTGGTTGTTCCACCGCCTGCCATTGAGCCTGCCGCCCCAAATAGTCCAGCGCCACGCCCAGTGCGACCTTTGGCCCGAGCATTGTTGCGCACGTTTGGACGGAAGCGACCTCTCTGGTAAGGTTTCAATGCCCGCGATCCGGTGGTGTCCACCAAATGGAATGTGGAATCGTCATCCTCATGAAAGTATGCGTACTGGCTGCTGTTGCCAAATGAGGAGGCGTACTTGTTGGAGAACTTTTTCTCCTGCATCCCCACTGTCCAGTCGCAGATCTTACCTAGGCGGTCACTTTTGCAGAACGGCTGGTAGGGTACGTCCATGTTGGGAACCTCGCATGGACCCCATCCATGTTCGTTGTACTGCACGTACGGCTTTATGAACGGAGCGTAATTGGACATCCTTCACAGGCAGAAGTCTCGAAATTTTTTTGGAAAGAAATTAAACGATGCGACTCGTCGAAATGATCACAGTAAAATGAGCTCAATTTTGAAGGAACATTCACAGGCCGAAAATCCCAATATCAACTAAAGAAATGCCTACTTGATTTGTAGAAATTCAAAGGTAAAATGTCCTAAAGCGTTTGTCCTTAAAACTTTAGGCTTAAAAAGTAGGCTTTAAGTAACTGGTTATTCCAAACAAAAAAATTGTACTAGAAATTTATTTTGAACTTAACCAGAACGAAATCTTTCTTAAGTATGATAGCGAAAAGATTTATAAATAATAATTAACTTATTGATTAGCTATCTTTGAACAAGTTTGTCTGGATGAAACCATTTACTCAAAATCGACATCGGCAACATAGGTATTTTCAGATTTCTGGTCACATTGGATCTGAATACATATACCGAATATGTCGCTCCAGTCACCAGTCGCAAGAGGACGCACCGCCCCCAGATCCACGGGATTCGATGAGGCTCCTCGCGAAGCTACCGTTATGTCGCGATGTGGAATCGCCTAACCGTCTTCCGATTCACTCTCAATATTCTACTGTTCCTCGTGGGCACTTTGTCTCTCATCCTGCGCATGTTAAGCTGATCAAGGATCGACGAAAATGAGTAATGGCGGTCGGCGATGGGCGGTGATCCCCTTTAACTTTTTGATAAAGTCTTTTCGGCGACGCATGAATAAATGTTTGTTGAGCAGTGAACAGTTGTAACCGGAAGCAGGGGATATGGGGCCGGATTATCACTTGACAACGCACCCAGTCCCTCACGGACATGGTGCCACTCACATTACTCCAGCTTAGGGCCATTGTTCGGGGCTAAGTATCAGGAAAGAAAAGGAACAGCGCCACAATGCACTGGGCCTACAATGGGCCTGGTCAGAGGTTTCTTGTTCCTGGGGAAGTACCTTACAACAATCTCGTTAAGCGTAAAGGCCAAATTATAGTAAAACTAACAGAAGGCAAAAGGTAATCACATAAAAAGCTTGTTAGATAACAACGTGAGAAGCGGCGAAAAGGAAGCGGACGTCCTGTTCTCCGTTCCCCAACCGCGCCGTCTCAGCCCGAAAAGCAACGTGTCGAGCATGCGAATGTGCCTGGATGTGTGGAAAATGATATGGGGGCTGGGAGAATGCTGTGGTGCCACCCATCGCCACCGGCCTGACTCCCCCCACCTCACTTTTGAGCTAAGCTTTGTCAGGGCGACAGGGTGTCATGTTGATGTGTCTGTCACTGGCAGCTGCTGCTTACATGGCCCAGCTACAGATTCCAAGGCAGTTGTAAGTTAACACCAGGACAAAAAAATGTCACAACATTTTATTAATAAGAATTGCTACATATATCAATTAGTTTTATTTTTCTGTAGCTATTCGAAGAATCAATCTTAAAACTAAAACTAGAATGCATTGAAATGTTTCTTGAAAGGCTTTCAATGAAAGCTGTGTTTTTCTGAATTTTGATGGCATATACGGTTTTTTTCAGTGCCGACTTAAGCCAGGATGAGTGAGTGAGCAGTGTGCGTGCGGCCTAGTGGGTTGGGTGTGGACTAGTGTGTGTGGATTATAATTGCCATGCGGCTGTCAGTGACTGCAGGCGGCACCTAACTGCTGCACACAGCTGCAGATGTGCGGCTCGTGTTGCAATATCATTTTTAATGCAAACCGCATGCCACATTATGCAGCTGCATTGCCACGTCACCGCTGCGGTTTTCCCGCCGCTCCATTGCCACCGTCTCCTCCTTGTTTCCCCTTTCACCCACTCATCTTCATCTCATCTGGCACTGCTTCTCGTCGTGCGGCTGCTACTCCTGCTCCTGCTGCTGACGCCTTTCGGGTGCTGCGCTTGTCGGAAAAAGCAGCAGCGGTTTAGCAAAGGAATATAGCCAAGAATAATGCCCCGGCACATAAGTAAGTACTTACCCGGCTAACAAAAGCAACAACAACTGATGCTGCCAACAAAACTAACAACAGCAGAAGCAGAGTGAAAAACCGCTGCATACTTTGCGGCGTTCGCGGGCGATAAACGATGCCAGCAACCAGCCGACATCCCCAAAAACCCTTATTTCAAAAGCCTCCTTCCCAGAAGGGTACAATATACATAGTATATGGTATCGCAATGAAAGCGAAATTAAAAACACATTTGTAAGCCCTAATCCATTCAGGCAATTACTCATTAATCAAAGAAAAATGCAAAACAATTTTTAAATTTAAAAAGTTGTTTGGCGTAAACCCGCTATGATATTCTTAATAAAAATGACAGCTTTTGAAACAGATTTAAGGTATTCAACTCCCATGGATGTGTGACTGAGAAACAGCCACTGTTTACTTATTTTCATAGTGACAACTGAAGTTTTTCAAGGTTTTTCCCAGGGTATTTGCCCGTAGTTCCATATTTTCACTTTTTCAATTTCGTAGAGCTCCAACGCGCGGCGGAAGGTTGGGCTGCTGGTACTGCTTTTGTGTTGCATAAAAATTAAAATTTATGCCAGGCAAGTTGTGCAAAGCACTGCAAATGCCATTGTTTTCCAACCCCCGCTACCGCCCTCTTTTGGTGCTGATGATGTTTTTTTTGCGCAGGAAGGACATTCACGTTCTGGGTGGCTGCACTCGCCCCCTCCCATTCACTAGCGCCCCTCTCCTTCTCTCGCACAGCTTGTCAAGCCCACTTACATTCAATTCATTCATCTCCGGCTGAAAAATAAAAATAAAAGTCCCCAGCACCCCCTCTTTGTGCTGCCTGGCCATCGTAATTGCAGAGCAATTATACATACTTCCATCGGAAAGATGGATACGTAATTAATAGCACATTAAATTGGGCCACAACAATATTAATTGTCCTGATTGATTTATGCAGGTAATTAACATTTTAAGCAACTGCGAGGAGAATACGAATTTTTGCCTCTGCTCAGCGCAATCGGCTTTGCTTATTTTCTCAGTTTAAAGAACCTCACAACTTGTTAGTTTTTGTAAAGTCTCTTTCGAAACATGCTCACAACATAGTTGTGGAGTTTCTATTGTCGGATCTGAGCCTACCTTTCAAATGAGTCAATCAACTTCCAACTGGGAATGTTATATAGATCAAAGCTAATACTTGACTTGAGGACAATATCATATCCTCTGCTCCATAGATCCTCCATCTGCCGCACAGTCCACTGGAACCTCATCGTACGCACTTCAAGAAAGCGTGCTGGTTGTCTGAAGACACCCAACATGGAGATGCCGGAGGGAATTGTTATGGGATTTGGTAATCCCCTGCTAGACATTACCTGCCACATCGAGGACAATACGCTCTTAGAGAAATACGGGCTGGAAGCGAATGCTGCCATTATTGCTGATGAAAAGCACGATGCCCTGTTCGACGAGCTTATGAATATGGAAAGCGTGATCTACTCGGCCGGAGGAGCTTGTCAGAACACAATGCGTATCTTTCAGTGGATTGTCCAGACTCCCTTTAGAGCAGTTTTTACGGGAGCCGTGGGCAAGGATAAGTTGGGCGATCGAATCACCAAAAGAGCCAGAGCTGACGGTCTTCAAACGCTTTACCAGCTAAAAGAGGAACTGCCGACAGGTTAGTATTTTAAACCTTTGTTTTTTTAATATTTTTACTAATTGCACTGATTGTTCTCTCAGGTTCCTGTGCTGTACTTATAAGCGGTTCAAACCGTTCCTTGGTAGCTAATTTGGGGGCGGCCTCTCTGTTCACCGAAGACTGGATGGACGATGAAGAGAATGTCTGCGCAGTAGAGCGGGCACAATACTTTTACTTCACCGGCTTCTTCCTGGCCGTTTGTCCGTCCGTTGTGCAGATAGTGGCAAAAATGTGCGCCGAGTCGAACCGACTAATGATCCTCAACTTTAGCGCTGTCTTTGTACTTGCCATGCAACGCGAAGCTCTGGATAGCATCATCAAGTACGTGGACATCATCATTTGCAATAAGGAGGAAGCTATTGCATTTGCTGATGCCTACGACTGGAAGACAAAGAACATTTTCGAGATCGGGCCGCGGCTGCAGTGCTTGCCAAAGGAAAATATCCGGCCCAGGATTGTCTTGGTTACGGATGCGGTGTGTCCGGTACTTTGTTTCCAGGAGAACGAGCGAATATTGGAATACCCAGTACCCAAGGTGGAAAAGGGCAAAGTTTTCGACACCAATGGCTGCGGAGACGCCTTTGTGGGAGGCTTTTTGGCCATGTTCGTTCAGCATATGCCCCTGGACTACTGCATCCGTACAGGCATTTTTGCTTCACAACAGGTGTTGAACATAGTCGGAGTCCAGGTGGAGCAGTTACCCAAGTTTAGCGAAAAGTGCATCTAAATTAAGCTCATTTAGTGGACACAGTTTCCTGCAATGACTCTCAATAAATTTTCAGTGTTTATCCGACCTAAACAAATCATTGCTAATCATTATTCATTTAGCTTCCCAATGATAATCTTTTGTTATTCATTCTCTTTCTGGGCATTAGTTGAGCAAACATTTCGATTGCTAGAAAAATAATAAAATTAGGAGCCCAACCTTGGCAATTTAAATTTTAAATCCGAGATGTTTTAAGCTGTTTAAACTTAAAAGTCTAAGAGACTGCCCCTTATCAAACCAAATAAATTCTTAAGTTGATTACTAGATTAACCTATACCCTCCTTAAGCGATCAATATAATAATTTAAGGCCCAGCCCGACCATCGAACCGAATGTCCTCCGGCACATCCTTGGCCAGCACCTAGCCGGCATATTCATGCCGAGTCCTGTGGCTGTCGCTCTGCCTTTGGCTCCGGGAAAAATAAATACATTTAAATGTATAAAACCCTTCACTCCTCGGGCGTATTTTTCCTTTCTTTCCAGCTGCGGGAGAAAGCTGCTGGGAGAAAGGCAAACAGAAAGGATGTAAAAATATGCGTTGCATACTTTGCAGCGCCAATGTAAATTTCCGCCCACCCCGTGCGGGCTTTGTCTTCTGGTCTTGGCGCCCCGCATCCTTCTGCCCGATGCCTGTATGTCCTGCTGCTTGCCGGCTGTTGACTTTGGCCTGACAAAATATTGCTACCATTTCAGAGCTGAAGACGCAGACAGTGCCGTCGGAGAATCTGAGGCAGCTGGACATAAGCACGTGCCAAGGCACAGACGTTCCCTACCTTTATTTTGTGATAATTAAATACTCTGTTTTTAAGATATAAAAAGGGGTTTCTTAGTAGCAGAAATATCTCTAATAGATTGTCCAGAACAACATCCAATATATATAATTTATTAAGGACACCTTTATTTAGTTATAATATAGTTCAACAGATTATATAATAGTCCTCATGAATAAATATATTAAACCACTGTGCGTACCCTGACTGTCTTCCACTGATTAAAACGATGCGTCCTCGTGACAGCGATTTTTTCTCGTTAAATCCTTAAATGTCGTTTCGTTTATCGTGAGCTTTGTTTTTTAACTTCACGACGCCCCCCTCACAGCGTCCCTTTTGGAATTCACTTCGGCCGCTGGCCGTTCGCAGAGCTCAAGCGATAATTTATGCATATATCCATGGTGATTTATGACATCAGACGCCCCTCCATCCCACCGAGCTGTGTGCTCAGGGGCTCAGCGCTTCTTAGCCGGTTCTCTGAGCTGGGACACCGCGCAATTAGCTGTGGGAAAAATGAGCAGCAAGCTCGTGGATCAGAAACTGGATCAGAAGACTTCCTTTGTCCAAAGGAAAAGTCAAAGTCAAACAGCTTTAAGAGTAACTCTCTTTAAGGACTTCGCTTACTCTGCATTCTAGAAGGGAACATTTTTGTGGTTTTGAATGGGAAACTAGGATTGCACTTAAAAAAATATCATTGGGTTGACTATATAACCTGAGTTCCTGTAATTACTGTAGTTATTATAACCTAATAATAATTTTGTTTTAACCAAACATGGTATTAAAAATAAATAAAACTTTTCATTATAATACTTTTTTGATGTATTTTAGCATTTTTTGATGTGTAAACAAAAAGAAGAAAGTCTCGCCTTGGCTAGAAAGTTTTCAGATTTGTCATATGCACATCTCAGAGCTAATATCCTGACACATGGCTCCCCGAGCCGAGGGCCACATGAGTTATGAGTTATGACGAAGTCAGCGTTAGGTAGAATCTTCTCAGACTGGGACCGGAAAACCAAGCTGACAGCTTAATTATCACAGTCAGGACTTGGAGAGTTCTGGATTTGGCCCCGAGCGGGATTTTAATTAACTGCGTCGGATTTTATTAAAATGGTTTTAGGAGGAAAATCGACTTAATTTATTGATTGGCTTCCCAGACTTGAAGTTTGATTTCAGGTTGAGTGGGCCACAAACTTGGAGTAAAAGGTCGATAAACAAGATTAGCTCGAAGTAACAAATCATGGTGCATGAGTATTAAGAAGCAAAAAGTTTTCATTTTTTTCCTTTTTAAATTCCGTCTCGTACGGACTGAGGCCTAATTTATGCAATTAGGCGATTTAATTTGATTAGGTTGAACACAACAAAAGGCAGGCAAAGAAAACCGAGAATTAGCAGTCCAATCCTGACCGAAAAGGAGCCCTCGGCTCAATGTGCTTGTCATGTTCGTATAATTGCAAAGTACCTCGGGCGCATAGAGTCCCACTAGACTAAAAATGTGGGGCACTGGGGGAACAGACAACAAACAAACAAACACGCATGACTTGGGGAACTGCTCATAAAAATCACTCATACGCACTGGAGGACAACGACAGTAGGAAACTGGGTGCTGGCAGGACAAGTTTCAAATGCTACTTGTAACTTTGTTACAAGAGCCACGGAGCAGTAAATGTTGAAAGTTGCTCCCGTCATGTTTGTCTCGGGGTGGTGGGAATGGCAAAAGTTTCTATTTCTGTGTTTTATACTTTGTAGCCAGCCAACTGTCGGCCAATGCCAATGTCTCGTCACAAAACCCTTTTCCAGACCCCGAACTCCATTACCAGATCTAAGATAGTTACCCACTCATTTGCTCAGTCAGTCAGTGAGTTAGTGAGTCATTGTTTCAGAATCTAGATCCACAAACTTGTAACAGAGATACAGTGGAAGATAATCTTTGAGATAAAACTTATATAAAAGACCTCTACAAGTTTTATTGTATCAAGAACATTAGTTTTTTACTTCTTCTATTTTTAAAATGATATTTTAGTTGGTTATTTTTAATTAGTAGTTTTTCTTGATAACAATACAAGAAACAGGCCTTTCTCATCCACTGTGACGTGTGCTTTTCCCGTCCTGTCTCAAGTGCTGATTGTCGTGCCATTGTTGGTATTGTTCCTGCTGTGGTCGGTGCTTTGGGGTGTGTACTATTCAACACAAGCCATGTGTGTGTAAGCCTGTGAATTATATTAAATTATCGAAGATTTCCGGGATAATGATCCGTTTGACACCGTTTGTGACCGATGATTTGCCAGACCAGAATCGATTGAATTAAGCAGAAAGCATTTTCATTACATGTCCTCGCCACATGGCCACAATTAACTGGCGACTTTAGACGCAGAACGCTTCAGTTAAGTTTCGTTGAATTCTCTCGTATTTTAAACAGCTTTAAAGTCCCTTTCTAGCCATGCATTTCCATTCCCCCGAGTAGCATCAATTGCAAAATGTCTGAGCCATTTGCATAGAGTTTTCGCAAAATTCTATAAGGAGAGTGAGAAGACCCTCGCCTGGTGGAGCTGGTGGTGGTAAAAGTTTTATGTTAGCAACGAAGAACGATAATTTGCAGCAGTTACAATATTTCATGGAATATCTCTTGGCTTTTTCTTCGCCGCAAAACTTCAATAAAGCATCAGCAATAAAAAGCGAAAAAGATTTTTCGACTTTGCTTTATGGCAGGTTCAATATTTTGACAACCGCAAAGTAACACAAATAATGGACAAATTTTCTTTCTCTCGGTGGTCGTATTTTACTTTTCGCCAAAATGTCAAAGCCTGGAAATTTGTCAATTGAATAAATTGCACTAAATATACACCAGCTTGCAACACATTCAAATATCCATAAATAAATATGCAATGCGTCTTGCAATTGTTTGATTTGGTTTTTCTATTTGTTGGAAATTTTCTGGCAGCCGCCGTCTATTGTGGCCACTCAACGCTAATGGACTTTAAAGTGTGTTCTCAAGCGTTCACAGCCAGATTTCGTCTCAAGCACAGTCAGAGGATATCAGGAAAGTTTGCCTGAAATGACTCTACTTGCATTGTTGTCGCACATATCACGCATACGCCCCGTTGCAGTACTGGGCGCACTGGGCTAAAAACGAACTCGTTGGAACAAATCCAAATCCGAATGCAGTCCGAGAAGTTCCATGAAAGAAGTGATCCCCAAGCAGCTGGCAAAATAATAAACTGCCAGCCAACACCAACCCAATCACAATTACACTCCCTGACCGGAGCACAAAAAGTATTTGGTCTTTGGTGGCCCGTTGTCTTTGTTTTTCCAATTTCGCAAATGGCTTCCATGCATGTGTGAGTGGCTGTGTGTTAATTAGCAATATCAAGAGCACTTAAATTTGGTACAGATTATAACGCCAAAAGTTCTCCCTGCTTCCAGACTGTGTGTGTTCTTTGTTCAATTCTCAAGTTGCTCATTTTGGGAGCAAGCTGATTGTGTTTGCGGCTGAGTTGGCCATTCGATTGCCAAGTTGTTGGCCTTTTTTGCCGCCTGTGCGTCCATAGACCATAGTTTGGCCTCGGAATCTGAACTCTGATATCCGTGGGAATGTGAGAAAGCATTTGAATAATTTCGAATGGCAGTCTCACTTCAAAAGCTCTTGACCAAGTGTAGCTCTTCGCTCGTTTAAACTGAATCAGGCAAGAAATGCCTGACTACCACTATCAAAAATGCATTACCACCAAGCAAAAACGAAATGAAAATGGCAAAGAAAACTAAATGCGCATTTAACAATAAATGAGCAACGTTTTCGGAAATTAACTTTCAACAACATGTGTTGAAATGCATTTATCTTCCGCCCTTCCAACGAGTCCCAGCAAACCCGGCTTGTAACCGGCCAGGATACAAAAAACACAAGGGAGTATAAAATAAAATAGAGGTGGAAATTAATTTGAAAGCCAAAAAAAAAAAAGAGAAGTGGAAATTATGAGTGGCTGCCAAATTGTGCTAAATGAGCCCAGGCAAGTGGAAATTAAAAAGCGAACCCAGTACAGGAACAGCTTACTCCCCCCTCCTCAGAAGCCTTCTGGTCTGGATCCAGGAGCCGGGAGCCTGGAGCCACTTGCATTATGATTGCATCATTTGGGGCTAATTTGCATTTAAATACTTGGCTCTGTTATTGTTCAAGTGCAGCAAGAAAACTTTCAGCTAAAACGCAAGCGGGGCGAGGGAATGGCTGACAGGAATGGGAACAGAAGCAGAACCCAACCGGCCTCCTGGCATCCTGGCCTCCTAGCCCCAGGCCACTTTGGACAAAGTTATGACAAGTCAAGGATATCACAAAATTGTCCTGCTCCAACCCAGCCGAGCCGGACAACTTCTGTTAATGCGTTTGAATAATGAATGGCTGCGGGTAAAGGGGCACGATGTGGGGCAGATCCTTGCACCTTGGATTCGGCGTATAATCCTGCAGTCCTTAGCAGATAACAATGTACAAACTGGCGCCGTCGGCACCCAGCCGTTGATGGTCATTACTTAAAGCGTCTGTCCAATGCAGCAACGTGAATTCTGGGAGTTTCAAATAAACTTGAAGAAATGGATTAACAAAACTCAGGTTTTAAGTATTTAATCTATAATTTAAGAAATATTTCTGAAATATTTATCATATATGAATACCAACATGTATTTTATTAAATTAACAGTATGGATTAACTTTATAATCAATAAACTTTGAATAAAATTGGCAATTTTTTAAATTACAAACCAAACAGATTTTTAATTTCTAATCGTGTTACCGTGTTAATCGTGTGTTAATAATCGTGTTAATATTTTTCCAGTAATAATGTCCTTTCATTTGAGTGTATCAAGTGAGAGATGTTGGCCAGCTGGAGTTAGGAAGTCCAGAGATTTATTGAACTGCAAATGAATCATTTTTCGCGACTTGCAACTCTTCGGTGCTGAAACCTGCCACCGAATCGTTGCCCTCTCGTCTACCTCCTCGGATTCGTCGCACAGTTATTAAACTTCAGCAAAACTTTTATGTCTCTCGGTGGCAGCAAACTTGCATGCTGCCCCTGCAACAGAGCAAAAAGTTTGCGTGTGTTTGGCACTTGAAACTTTGCTTTCGCGAGAACCAAAAAGCAAAGACCTGAAGCGCAGTCGGGTTAAAGCTATATATATTATATTAACATATATATACATTCATACAGACATTGGTATATAGATGTAGGCAAAGCAAAATCGGCGGAAAATAAACGCTTCAAGTATTTAAAGTGGCATTAAAAAATATTGAAAAACTCGATAAATACTTGTTAAGTATGCTGCTGTTGCTGCCAGATAATCTCTCCTGGGAATGGGTGGTAGTGCTGGGAGCACGGGGCGTATACGTGTTTCTGCACTTTATAAGTGGCTCCAACTCGCAACGCAACTGTGCTTCCGCCAGTTTCGGTTGTTCTTCAGCTGGATAATGTTTGCTTTTAGGCTTAAAATTAAGAAAGTTAAATGCTGGCGTAAAGTTAGTTTTTCCAAAAATTAGGCAGCATCAAGTATTTAATCAGAATGCTTTTAACCTTGTACATGTACTACCGAGTTTACTTTATAAGAAATGTCAATGACAACAAAGCCCCTTAGCACTTATGGACAAAAATTGTTGATTTAAATATTGTCAAGCTTGTGGTGAAGATTTCCATTTCCATTTTCATTTCCTTTGCAGCTTTCACCGCAAATGTGTTTGCCAAAGATCACACAAAATGCCGTTGCGTTTCATTAATTTCATTCATTGCGCCAATTACTTTTGCGGTTGGACCGAGGTTAAAGTCATTGAGAGATCTGCGAGATACGCTTTCGGATGCCGAGCATCTGCTCGGTGGTGCTGTGGAAGCTTATTCAGTTCAGGCAATTGATTTGCCAATTTGCCAAATAAACAGACTCGAGAGTGAGAGTTGCACACGAATATTTGCTTCAGTGCACCAGTCAATCAACTACCGAAACGAAAAACGAGACGCCCGTCAGACAGCCTGGCAAATTGAAAGTGTATCTGTGGCAGCTGCTAATTGGGGTCCATCTGTACAGTTTTAATTAGACAACGCAATCGGGTGAATGCCTGAAATGAATGTATATTTTCAGATGTTCACAAGCTATCGGTGTTGTACCAGCATCGGCCAGTTATCAGTTGACAGCTGTTTAAACACTATTCACCCGCTCATGTCATGTATCTCCAAGATAGTTTTCGTTCGGGGAGCAGTAGGAAGGTAGTTTAAATAGACTTTTCGGCTGCCGTCTAAATGTGAGCCTCTTTAGCTCAGTGGCAGAGCACTGGTCTTGTAAACCAGGGGCCGTGAGTTCAATTCTCACAAGAGGCAACTTGGGGCCAAGCTGAGCTCCTCATTTTTGTGAGGTATTTTTTTGGTATGCCCCCAAACTATTTGCTGATTGCCGCATATTTCAAGCTTGATTGAACTGCTGCGTGGCTCTGCCGGGTCTTCAATCAGGAGTTGACATTTTTGATATTTGACTTATGCAGGCAAAGGATCCTTCACCGACGAAGCTCCGTATTCGCATTTCCTCGCTTAGACAAGTCAATTGACTGACGGCAACAATTACTTCACTTAAGAGATCATTTGTTTAGATATTTTATATTATATTCACTTCAAACCAAGCTAGAAAAGCTGGGTTTTATAGAAATTTATTATGAAATATAGTTTTTATAACGTAGTTTTATTTTAACTTAAACAAACTAGTCGACAAAAGCAGGTATTCATAAAACAATTAATAAATAATGTTAATTTTTATCCGCCAAATGCAACATGTTAACCATCGTACGTATTTCAGCACACTGAGATGCAATAATTTGTGATGCCGTTGACGTTTGCCCCCTCATGCCACCGGACACAGTGTGGCAGCCACCCCAGCCGCACAAACTCACGCACAGAGCCTGAACCGCATGCCGAACGATTCACTTCCGACGAGATCCTTTGGCAACTTCATCATGCGCATATTCACAGTTCATAAAACCGAGTGGGTAGCGGGGAATGGAGGGACAGGAGCTGGGATTGGGGGACAGGACTGACAGCGGCTCAGCAAATCGAAATAAAAATTTATGTGCACATGTTTGAATTTATTGCCCGTCTTTGGGTACCCGGCTATCCCTCGAAGAGCCGTATCTAAAGGATGGGGTGCCAAAGGACCCAGATCCAGGCGCAGATTGTGAGTCCTGCGCGGCGCTCGGTTGCGTGTGTAAATGTTATTCAATCGAATGTGAAATCATATGAGCGCTTACTCTCCACTCATAAACATTTTATTTACCTTTAATTTCGTGAAAAGCTTCTTTTTGTGCGGCCCCCGTGATTTGCCGCCCAAGCGTAACCCCTGACACCAACCTCGCTTCCCACTCCTCCAATGCCACTTCTATGCGTGCGATTTTTATGACTAAATAAAATGATTTTTTATACCAAAGGAGGAGTCGCGGCCCTTGACGCAAAATGGCAATTCTTTGTTTACTCAGTGAAAGTGTTTAGCCATAAACAAACGTCGACACAATTCCCCTTGAGTTATGGCCGAAATCTCCGCCCAAACCGTACAATATTTTTATAAGCGAATTGATGGCACAACAGTGTTAATCAAATGTAGCTGGCAATTGTTTTTCGAGTGCTATTATAGGTGTAAGTACTTGAAGTATTTCGTTATGAAGCTCAGAAGTACTTTCATAGAGAAGTGGCTTAGATAATTTATCTTTAAATTATCTAAGACTTTAATCTGTGGCTGAGTGGTAAGTTTTCCCTTATGAAATAATAGTAACTCTTCATTAAAACTAAAATGTCCTTAAGTATAAAAATTAAATTGGTTTTAAAAGCGAAATATTTAAAAGCTAATATTATATTATTTTGTCAGAATTTTCTTTGTATATATTTTTGCACCAAAAAAGCCTACAGGCGTGTAAATACAATTCAAGAAGTCTTACTAACCTAACGGACTAAAACAAGTTTAAATTATGGGAAAATGAAAAGTCAGGAAGGAGTATCACTTCTTGGAGAGGGCCACGAAGAGATCCCGGGCGTAACGACGGACTGGCTTGCCGTTGGCGTTCAAAGGAATCTCATCCGCAAACTGGACTCCGGCACGGAGCTGTTTCTGAACATCGGGCAGTCGACTGGCGACATAGTCGATAACCTGCTGGGCAGTGAGGTTGCTCTTCTCCTCCGGCACGACCAGAGCACCTGGCATATCACCCTGAGTCTCCTCGTAGATGCCGATGACGCAGACGCGTTTCACCTCGGGCATCTCGTCAATCACAGCCTCCACCTCGGCGGGCCACATCTGCAGACCCTTCCACTTGAGAACCTCCTTCTTGCGGTCGGTCATGTACAAGTACTGGTCATCGTCAAAGTATCCCACGTCACCAGTGCGGAACCAACCGTCTTCGTCCAGAGCCTCCTTGGTGGACTTGGGGTCCGCATAGTAGCCATTCCAGTTAAAGCCGTTGCTCACCACGATCTCACCGGTTTCGTTCGGTCCCAATTTGTGGCCGTCATCGTCCACAATTTTGATTTGGGCACCAGGAAGTGGATTACCAGCGGCGGTCAGCTTCAGATGTCCGTAGTTGAACGCCATGAAACCAACCTCGGTCATTCCGTAAGAAGAGTTGAGCACAGCGTTCACCAGCAGCTTCTTGAGGCGCTCAACGGTGGGGGCGGTCATCCGGCCACCTCCAAATGTGAACTTTATGATACTGGACATGGTCTCCTGGGTGGCACCCGGATACTCGAGCAGCGCACAACAGTGCTCCGGCGGGATGAGAACGTACGTAATCTTGTACTTGGTCACCAGCTCGGTGAAGTAGTCGGGAGTGAAGGGCTTGTTGGTGATGATGCGGCAGCAACCGTTCACAGTGCTGAAAAGCGTGGCCCACAGACCCGTGATCCAGTCCAAGCTGGCTGAGACGAAGGAGACGTCCGTTGAGGTGACAAAGCTACCCAAGGATTATTCCACATTATAACCATGACATTCACTCTTGTTGCTGTTCAACTTACGAAGTCTCTTGGCACAAAATATCGTTGGAAATGCACACGGCCTTGGGCAAACCTGTGGTGCCTGATGATGTGAGGATGGCCACCGTTTGCTTGGGTCCCTCCTTCAAAGGAGTTGGCCTAAGGTGAGAAAAACGGGACATCAGCATCATCAGTCTACAAACGAACTCCAAAAATTTCTTACTGATAAAAGATCTCCGTTTTGGTAGGCTCCAGCAGATCCAGGACGCTGAGAACGCCTTCCTTAGTGCCAGTGGTCAAGATAATCTCCGGTTTAAAGTCACTGGTGGCTGAATACAACTTATCGTAGTGCACAGCATCGGTGAAAATCACCTTTGGCTTGGAAATGCTATACAAGTGCTTCAGGGTAGCTAAAATAAAAAATAAATTTAATTAAATAAATATTTGAGAGGGTTTCCTTTAGCTATTGAAGCTACGATACATACATTCTTCAAGAATTGGATTGGCCGACTGGAAGGGAGTTCCGTTAAAGAAACAGGCCACGGCAACAGGCATGATGTAGGTGGTGTTCTTGGCAGAGATGCCGATGACGTCGTTGTTATCCAAGCCACGACTCTTCAGGTGCTGGGCAATGCGCACAGCCCAAGTAAAAGCCTGCTTGAAAGTGACCTCCGTGCCATCGGTGTCCGAAATCTGGAAGACCATAAGCCATGACGATTTTCCGAATAGCTAGAAGGGATCCCAAAGCTACAACTAACCTGGCAGAGATTGTTGGACCAGTTTCTCATCGTCCTGAAGATGATCCGGCCAATAGAGACGTCGTCCCTGAAGGCAGGGTTCTGCGGGATACCCTTCCAGATCTTGTTAGCCGCATCGTAGCTGCAGGGTAACTTTGCCATTTTGGTTTCTGTGGTAGATTTAAACTCACTCCCGGAAGATTCGCTACTATCTGTGGAACTGACCGCTCGCCGGGGCTACTTATAAGGCTCGGATCCAAAGGGTTTTATCTTCAGTGTGATAAGACGGACCCACTAGATTAAGTTCAAGGTATCAATGAAAGATATAAGTGACATTGACTACCCAGATTTGCGCGTGCCCACAAATTCAAAATTATAATTCTGTTTTTATTAATGAAGGTGCTGATAAGAGTGATTAAATTTTGGTCATTGACTGGCAATGGCTATTCCCAATTGCTTGGCTTATCTGCGTTCCGGGTTCCGTGGTCACTATCTATTATCTTGGTCCTGCTGTAATATTAGGTATTGTAAATAGACGTATCTATTTCGTCATATTATATATCCAGATTTTATAATTCGTAAAATTTTTATTTATAACTTTAATTCAAAATAGGGTTCTTCCTGCCACTAGCGACTTATTTGACCTTTCGTTTATTATCACAAACCCAAAACAATGTGGCGCTATTTTAGGCAATAAATAGATAACAAATTAGTTAAGGGGTATATTCAATTCGTTTAATTCACAGCTGGACTTTGCACCCGGAATAACTTCTTATATCCGTATTGCGTGATACCACACAGCCAGTGGAAAGTTTGCGAAATTTTCCCAACATTTTAATTAGACACCCGCGGATTATCGAAACCAGCTCTAAATTTGTTTACCTGGAGATACGTATTTTATATTTTTATTTAGCCTCTCACCATGATATCCCATTGAATAGACCCACAATAAATCCAGCAATTCCGCAACCGAAAGCTGACCAATTCAATGGAATTGAATGGGTTTGCATTCACCCTACTTTCTCCTCCTCGCTGCTTTCTTTCAGATTTCAGCTTATATTTCCTTTTTTCAGCTCTGCGGCTGACAAAAAGTTACTGCAGCGAAAACGTTATTTAAATACCTTGGCGAAAAAGTTCGCTCACAAGATATTTGCAAACATCTGTTTCCTGATTTTCCAACAGCCCCAGCAGCCGGCTGAGAAAATCAACTTTCCGTTCCCGGTGGCACGTGAACTAAAACCCAATTCTGTGGCAGGGATGCCGATGATGAAGCTGCCGTTTGGAATAGAGTCTATGAAGGCAATCGGTTGCTCTTGCTTTGGAAACTACCTTCATTATAAATAGTTAAATTATAATAAAAATATAGATACAGATAAAGATATTTATATTCATGTGAAGTTGGTTTATTTATCGAAATTCTCCCTAGACCTTATCCCTATAATATTTATAAAACTATCCCTTACCAGTTTAGTCCAGACATTGAACTTTGATTTCTATGTTAGGAACTATCCCACAATCTTATCCTATCTTATAAATATAGTTTCTTTGGGAAATAATGGTAAGTTATCAAATAAAAGTTACTGAAATTATCACAATCACCCGAAATCAGAGGAAATAGAAATTGATAAAGGGAGGGTCTTATCCTAGAGTATCATAGAGTTTGGCCTTCTACGGGGGATTTTTTGGCAGAGCTTGAGGAAAACTTTTGTGTCGCTGCGGCTCTTTTCAATTTTTGAGATACTCGTGCCGCCAGTTGAAAGATATTCGCGGTAACAGTTAGTTGTTAGTTGAGCTCGGGTATTCTTATGGCGGCTAACTAGCTGGCTAAGGTAGTTGTTTGGGTTTCCTTGTCAGTGATTTGACGCTGTCCGTCCGAGTGTCCTTTTGGCCATTTGTCCGTTTGTCCGTCTGTCCGTTCATCCTTGCTAGCTTTCCCTTAACTTTTTTTGTTCCTCGCTTTTATATAGAAAGACCCAGTGCAACTGCTGGCTGTGCAACTTATTCGCATTCTGCTGGAGAAACTGCTTTTTGCTGCAGCTCCACCTCTTGCAGTTCAGTGTGTTATTATGCACTGCTTTTTTCCTCTGACGGTTTTTCTTTTTGGCCTGTTTCCTTTGGCTGCTTTTCCTTCTGCCGCTTCTGCTACTGCTGCACACAAGTTTTTCATTTGTAATTCAAGATGTCAGTCAGCTGGGAGAACCAAAACTTAATTAAAGTTCCGCACTTTTACAAAACCAGCTCCCGATCTCGACTCTCCCCCGGAATATCCTTCTCTTTTATGTTCGTAACTATATATATATATATATAGTGTATATATGTATTTAGCCAGTCCCATTTCGTTTAAATTCAAAGTGTCTGTCCGTCTGTTCTGCTGCTCTTTGGGTTTATCTTTCAGGTGCAAGTTTCACCGTCCGCACCTGCAGCAAATGTCCGAACTTGCGACTTTGTTGGCCACGCCTGCGGCAATAGCTTACCCTACCAACGTCCACCCGTCCTCAGGACCATGTTTGTACGAAATTTTATGAGATTATTTCATACTCTTCACTTCTAATTTGGCACCACACTCACACCCATTGCCATGTGCAGATTTCGACTTGTTGAATGAGCCAACTCCGGCTCCGGTTTACTTTCGTTTTCAACTTACCGGCTATCTCCGGTATCGGTTTCACTTACGGCCAGTCGTACCCGGCATCTAATTTAATTAGCCGACACCGGCATTACATATATCCTGCCATGTCCAGCTTCCAAATTCAACATCAGATGCTGGACAAAATAAGATAAAAAGGACAGCGGGGAGAAGGACAGGCCTCATTATGTATGCATTGAGTTTCCAGTGCCCAGTGTCAGTGGCATAAAAACTTTTTGATAACCGTAATTAGCATATGGAGAAATCCGACTCCTACACTTTTCTTTGCGAGGCAGGCAGGTGGAAAGCCACATTCCCGTTTAATGTATTCGGTTCTGATTAGGACCTTCTCAGCGATTATGGATGGGAAACTTTGGGCCCCAAAGGTAAATTTGACTGGTATTTTGGTGTAACTTTTAAATATTATTTGTATAAACTTCTATATTTATTATTTTTTGATTAGATAAGCTGTCTGGATAGTGAGTTGAGGATGTTTAGTTTCAAAAACGTACACGTCTTAAATATTTTCTACCCTTCAGTAGAATATTCAAATATCCTAGCACTGAATCTTTAGAATTATAGTTGATTTTATGTTTGATATCTTTATAAATAATATAGAAATATATAATTTTTGGAAATGGATTTTTATTTCACTTTCTTATTGTGTATTTGTATCAATAGTTTTTAAATTTTCGTCTTGACTGCTTCACTTTTAACTGCTTTTATCGAACTCTCGTTATAAACTGATCTTTATGCCTGGTTTACAGATCATGAAGCTTTTCAGGAAGTGGCGACACAGCCTCATGAGTAAGCCGATTAAGGTCCTCCTTTCCATTTCATAAATGTAGCTTCGAAGATGATATAAAAATACAAAAATTTAATAAAAATTCACAAGGCTATTATTTTGTAATTATCCCTTTTTAAAACCAGTTAACTTTTACTCATCCAAGCTAACTTTTCCAGTCTTTCAATTTATTCGTTTTTTCTCTTTTCCTTCATCGGACCTTAAGAGCATATAAGCTTCTTTTGCCGATCCGATCATATTATTTCGCATCCAAATCCTCTAACATCTCCCTTAGCCATAAAAGATCCGCCTCGATTCTCATTGCATCTATAAATACTGTCGCGGTGCATAGCTCGTATCTGTTGGGTACGTCATTGAGCTGTGGGATTATCAGCGCATTGCCTTCCATTGGCTGCCACGGATACAGAGCCAGTTGCTGGGCCAGACCAGAAACGCGAGAGGTGGCCAATGTCAATGCCGCGGCCTTGGCAAGCAGGTGGGGATTGCGGTTGGGGGTTGGGGTGCAGACAGGGCCAAATGCAAATGTAGAAACCAAATCCGAAACAGAGGCATAAACAAAATGGGAATGAAAGTGCCAAAAAGAGGAAGGAAAGCACTACAAAATAATCCAACTGACGCCGCGAGAGAGCCACTTCCCTTTGGCATTCCTTCTGGCCAACAGAGAGGTGGCGGGGCGATGATTAAATCAGTTAAGAGCCATTGGCCATAGCAGCCAGTTCTCGCTGGCCCCTTCCGCCATCCCAGTATCACCCCAGAAATAAAAAACATTTCGCCTTCAGCTTTCCGCCTTGGGTGTTGCGAATTTTGTGTTTTGCTCTCAATGTTTATTTTGGCCTTCTTTCCTGGCCAAATGATTTAATTTCATGCATTTCGCTTTGCGGCAATGGCGATGCTTATTAGTTGCAATTTGCCAGCTGCGGCCAAAGTTTGCTCTCGCCCAAATTCAGCCAAATTAATTAAATAATTGCTAGTCTGAAAAGTTAATAGGATGGGTAAAAATAAAGGCGGTGGCGGTGGTGGCGGCGGAGGAGGAGGCGGTGGTGGAGGAGGTGGTGGCGGTGGCGGCGCCAATGTAAGCAATATTTGTGTTATGCAACTAACATACTACTAATTAAGTGAGTTTAACTATTGTTAATCATAGTACTAGATCCATATTAAGTTGGCTTTAACCCTAAACTTTGTCAATAATATTAACATATTCCTATATTCCTATGCTTATATTAGCATGATGAACACAAGCAATTGAATTTTAATTTCCTTTTTTTTTAAATTAAATAACTGAAAAATAAGTACTTCATACCTTTATTAATCTTTGAGATTTACTCAAATTAATTATTGTGTTCACCTTTTGACGAAGGAACTCGGTTCCTGCGCTCCTAGAACACCAGTACCACTCGCACCTTTTTCTCATTACCTGACTTTGCACTGCAACTTTAAACAACCGAAGCTCATTATTTGCTCGGTCACAGCTCAAAGTAAAATCTTTCCGTGCTTCTTTGTCCACAGAAAAAGGGAGGCGGTGGTGGCGGAGGAGGCGCTGGAGGTGGCGGTGGAGGTGGCGCTGGAAATAAAAACAAAGGCGGCGGAGGAGGAGGCGGCGGTGACAAAGGCGGAGCCAAGAAAGGACAAGAGCAAAAGTCAGCCGCAGGCGGTGGCAAGAAAGGCGGAAAGAAATAGCAACGGTGGCAACATCAAAGCGCATTAAAAATTACAAATTTAGAATTAAGTTGAAATTAAATGTGGTATCAGGGAATAAATATGTATCTATAATATATGTGACTCCTCCTCCAACGGTTACAATTTACAATTTTTCGTTTTTAGACACACACGTTCAACATTTTAAATGTTTGGTTAAACAAGGAAAGAGCAGTTGGTTCGCCCAGATTCCACTCGGATGCACTTTACAGGCCACTTGGCTGGAGTCCGTTAGCGAAACCACTCCTGGGACATCCCGAAAAAGGAAGCAGCACCCGATTTCGACTTTCCAGAGTCCCCTTTGCGGGCCCCACTACCTCCGGGCTTTCTCGTCGGCGTCGTGGTCGTCGTCGTCGCTATCTGGGGGGTGGAATAGAAGAGATGGAGGGACAAAGAGATAGGTTATTAATTAATTAGTACTATTAATTGGTAGTTTGTGTGATTAATCAGTTAATTTGCGGTTGAACTAGAGGATTTATGGCGGGCAACAAACGGAAAGCCGAGTGCGGACATTTAGGGCATAATTAGGGGACGATTTATACCGGCGGAGATCGCAGCTAATTACAAAACATGCGAGTAACGGCCATGTGCTCGTGGCCATAAATTAACGTTTGCCCAGCGATTTGATTTCAATAATTGCAGCGATTCATTAATTAGCATCCACGGCCCACTCGACCACACCAAAAACAAACTCACAGGCTCATACACGCAAACATATAATCATCCTGCCGATGTCCTGGCCATCCACTTGGAAATTTTGGTTTCGGTTGCAAGCGAAACTTTTCCCAAGCACTTGCGGCCAAAGTGGAGGAGCTCCAGCATCCGAAGCATCCGAAGGACCGATGGAAAGAGCGGCAACGGAAAGTTGCACCTAATTAAAATTTGTCTTGCGGCATTCTGGTTTATTTATTGCTGGCCCACCCAAATTAGTTAAATTAAATGGCTGCTTCAGATTCAAGAGGTTTCCGAAAAAAATTCCAAAATGAAGCAAAAGTGGCAGTGCGGACTTTTCGAAATAAAATTACTTAATTCATGCAACATGCAAACATAGAACGAAAACCAAAAAACATAAACTATTAAATTCAATTCCTACCCAACAGATCAAATGATGAAACTATAGACTTAGGATTGCAATGTAAAGAAATCCTAGGAAAGAAACAGTGTAACAGACTTCAGATTTTATAATTAAACCAATAAAGGCCGATGCTGAAATCAGAGAGTTTATAAATCCTACTTACTTTCTCGGCAGGTTCCGGCGCTAAAGACTTGTTTTCTCCACTGGCTTGGGGCATCACAATTGGCAGCAATGGGAACCACAGCGAGGTGGCCCCTGAAGAACTAAGACACAAAACATTCGGGTCTGATTCGTGGGCCAAGGAACTGTTTCCTGTTCCCTGGCTGGAGGTAGCTACTACGGGAGTCAGCACACCCAGTTCGCCCTGCAAACGCGAGGTGGCTCTAGCCACGTGCGAAGTGATGTGCTCGGCAAACAGTTCAAAGTCGAAAGGATCTATGCAATCACGCAACTGATTCTGCTGTTCGTGGATGCGATCGTAAAGAGCCCGCTCTTCACGGGTGATGGCAAACACACGCTCCAGGAACTTCAGATCGAAGAACAGCTGCAGGGCAATATTCTGGCTAGATTTTGTGCCATCTGCCTTTGCCAAGCCCTCATAGTGCGTGAGCAGTTGGCCCAGAAGGCGGTGGTTGAAAGCCTGAAGCACTTTTGGCGGCAGGGTTTGGGGAACAGCTTCATTGAGAGCTTGGATCAACTGGTGGAGATACATTTGCAGCGAGAAACGCGGCTGGCTGGGAATGCGAATGGTTGACTGAACACTCTGTTCCTGCTCCTCGTCGCGCTGCTCCAAAGTCAGAGATTGCCAAAGCTTCAAGAAAGATTTCTTGTTAGTAATATAGTAAACTTACTAGATTAGAGTAAACTTACTGCGAAATCACTTAAAACCACCTCGTTGTTTATCATTCTTGGCAGCTTGTCCTCGCAACTGTGACCGGCTAACACATCGTCCACAATAAGTAGCCAAAAGCTAAGCATTTCATCCTCAATGAGGCCACAAACACGTTGCCAGTGCTCGATGCCCACGCCAGTTAGGTTTCCCGTCCACTGACGCCAATTGGGTGGCTGGCAAAAGCACAACTTCAAGTTTGGACACAACTCCACCAGGGCCAGGGTGTTGCGCAGAGCGAGTAAAAGGGCAGGACGCTCCCGCAGCTGCAGGCTCTTCAGGTTGCTCAAGTACTCCGTGATCTGCTCCTTTGCCGTCTCTCGCAAGAACTTGATCAGAGCCAGCTTGTCTTCGGCCCGCGTTGTTTGCTCCTGCAGCATTACGTTGAGCTCCTGCACGATGTCCGCCAGATGAGCATCAAACTTTCGGCACAGGTCTATGGTGGCACTGTCGTAGCCCTTTGTGCGGTTGGCCAAGCGTTTGGGCTGATCACTGAGAGCGGCTGCCAGGCTGAGGGGCAGATCATCGCTTTGCTCTTGCCAGATCTGATGCGGTGGCAGAAGCTGTCCGTTCTCGATGAGGGCAAGCACCTGCTCATATGTCTGTTTCATGGCAGCCGCCCAACTGCCTCGGATTATCTCGCGAACCCTGCCGTTGATCAGGGGCACGTATTTCCTTGCGTAAAAGTCCAACTGGCTGTGCTTCAACTGCAATTGTTGCTCCAGACGCCCAAAGTCTGGTCGCCCACTTGCCCTGGCCTCCGACTTGATGTCCTGGATAATTTGCATGCTGCTGACCAGGGCAAAGACCTGCTGCAGATTCGCTGCTGCCAGAGCGTTCATTTTGTCCAGCCACTGTTGCAGGGAAACGCCAAGTTGCTCAGGGGCTAGTCGAACCACTTGGAACTGGGGCCTAAACCCAGATATGATGTCGGGCAGCAGATGTGCAAGTTGACGCTCACTGCTCTCCATACGGCTAATGGTTGCAGGATAGGTGGAGGCGCCGCACTCATCCAAACGGGAGTAGAGAAGACCATCGCCTGAGAACCACAAGGAAATAATATAAGTCGAGAGTAGTAGTAGCCTTTTGAATTCAGATCTAAGTATAACGTTTATTAAAGAACAGATGTAGCTGCTTCACAAACATGGCAGACTCGATCCTTAAGTTTGCCAAAGAGTGCGGCATAGATCTGAACCATTCCAATGTTCTGCGGCAGCTGTGCACGGCGGAATTCACCAAGAGGCTCATGGAGAAATTCCAGGACAGCCGCATGAAGCCAGGGGATAGCTACGGAATATATAACATGGACAGGCGCCCGAGCGTGTACTTTGTGCTGTTTAATAATTACAACACAATGCATTGCCGGCAACTGCAGCCCACTAGAGGTACAGAGTTCCAGTGCAACAACGGAATCGATACGGACTCTTCTCTGGTCTCTTTGGGGAAAACTAACTACATCACATGTGTGCAGGAAGATTTTCCCTACACCGAGGACCTTTTAGCCTCTTGCGGTGTTCAATGGAGTCCCCAGCCAGTAACAACGGTGTTGCACTACGCCGAACCCAATATGGAAATCCGGAAAATGGTAACTTCTGCAGCCAATAGCCATTTTTTTTGGGAATTTCTTTTGGTTATTTTAGTTGCATCGCTTCTCGTTTGTCTGTTTAATCGATTTCGTCAATAAATGCTAACTTACCGAGTAGACACTTGTCTAGCAGATCCACTGTTCCGTTTAACACACCCAGACTGGCCAAGATGCGCTCCTTGACGCGCCTCGGTTCCGAGGACCTGCTTTCAAGGCAGCTAAGGAAAGCGGCCGAACGAAGGCCTAGGAATGTCTGAAGCACTGCTGCCAGGTCGCTCTTTTCTAGCAGAAGCAGGCTCTGAAGGCAATCGACCGCCAGCTCAGAAGACAATTGCTCTTGTTCAAGGGCATCCAGCACCGCCTGCTTGATGGTTACATGAAAAGGCCTCAGGATCTCCCATTGCTTGCGGGCCACTGGCAATTTCTGCATCAAGGCACTCTGTCCGTCTAGCTGGAGGCCAGTGCTGATGTGACGACTAAGCACAAACAACTCGGCGGCGGCATAGAAGCGTTTGTTGTCTAAATGCGTCCATATCAGCTCCGGCAGGGCAGTGAGGAGTTTAATCTGCACCAGAGTGCCGTAGTAGGTCTGTAGCTTGCGGTTCGCGCTCCTTTGCTGCAAAGCCGCCTCCGAAGCTGCCGAGCCTGCGTCCTGAGCAGCGGAGCTGTGGAATCCCAAAAGTTGCTGCTCGTTCAGACTCCGGCAGTTCGACTGCACTCGCTGAACCTGTTCAATAAGAGTCCCCGCCGACGTTTGCATGGCGGCAATGGTGTCTGCCGCCTGTAATAGGTCCCTATATCGCTCCCTGATGGATAAAAAAGGTTTAATTTAAAGAAAATCCAAATCCAGCCAAGTGCCACATCATTTACCCAACATGCGTGCGAAGCTCCTCCCGCTTGTTCTCCACAAGTGACTGTATCCGCTTGTATATCCCATCGATTTCGGACACGCCGTGCTGCTCGAACAGCGTGTCCACGTTCAGGTTTAACAAATTGGACGTCATTTAAAGAAAACCCTAATTTTCAAAACAAACTAGGGCCTGGTCTTGGATGTTTTTCAGCACTTGAGGAGAGCTCTGGTCGTCGCTTTGCAACACTACGATGAAAACAGCTGTTTGTTATCGCACTATTCTAGGGTTGGAAAGCGCGGAAATGCGCGTAATTAAAAAAAGGGCAAAGTAAATTTTTTAATTTTATTTTAAGAGAGTATTTGAACTCAAAGAATTATTTTTTTAACTATATAAATTTCTAAAAATAAAGTCTAAATGGTTATAAAATTTAATCTATGACACAGAGTGCTTTACTTGTTCTAAATGCAATATCTGGTTTAAAAGGCACAAAAATGCAAGCTACCTGTTTCTAACATCCACTTGGATAAGTATCACTCGCTACCCAGCTCCCGGAGCACTGCATTAGCAATAACTATGCGTTGGATCTCTGAGGTTCCCTCGTAGATCTCCGTTACCCGGGAGTTACGGTAGTAGAGCTCTGCGGGGAGATCAGTGGTGTAGCCCATTCCGCCTAGCACCTGGATGCACTGATGACTACAGTAGGTGGCCGCCTCGGAAGCGTGAAGCTTGGCCATTGCTGCCTCCTTGGTGAAGGGCAAGCCGTTGTCCTTTAGCCACGCGGCGCGCCAGACGAGAAGTCGGGAAGCCTCCACCCGGCTAGCCATGTCCGCCAGTTTCTGTTGAATAAGCTGCATCCGGGCCAACTGTTTTCCGAAGGCTATCCGTTTCTGGGAGTAGTCGACGGCCAATTCCAAAGCCGCCTGGGCGATTCCAGTGGCCTGGGCGGCTATTCCAATCCTACCGCAGTCCAGAGATTGCATAGCAATTTTGAACCCATCCCCGGGGTTGCCTAAGACGCGGGATCGCGGAACGTGGACATCCTCTAGAACCAGCTGGCAGGTGGACGTGGCCCTCATGCCCATCTTACTTTCCTTCTTGGCAATGGAGAGGCCAGGAACATCCTTTTCCGTGAGAAAGGCAGTGATACCCTTGTGTTTCAGGGCTTTATCCACAGTTGCAAATACCAGGCCTCCGCTCGCCTCCTTTGAGTTTGAAATCCAGGCTTTGGTGCCGTTGATAAGGTAACCGTCCCCGTCCAACTTGGCTGTGGTGCTGGCAGCTCCTGCATCCGATCCATTTCCAGGCTCCGAGAGAGCGTAAAAGGCAATATTTTCGCCCTGTGTATATGGTATCAGAAAATCCCGCTTTTGGTCTTCGGTTCCGTGTTGCTGCACTGCACCCAGGAACAGGTTATTCACACCCATCACGATGGCCACTGCGGCATCACCTCGCGCCACTTCCTCCATTCCAATGGCGTACGCTTGGTAGTCCAATCCGGAACCACCTGAAGGAAATGAGTGGTAAGGGCTTATAATTTTTTTAATTTTAATTTTTAAATATTATCTTATTAATTATATATGCTAATATTTAGGATTTTTAATCCTAATATTTAGGATTTAAAAATTCAAAAAATTCAGCTTAAAGATTCAAAAAAAGATTTTCAAAAATTGCAAAACCATTTTTCGAACAATTTTTTTTTTCTAGCTTATGTAATCAGAAAAATATATATATATATAAGAATTTTGTTTACTTTCCAGGTTCTAACAACTCACATCTGATCGCACACGGTTTACTCCTGTCCAGAACTTACCGTACTCCTCCCGCACAGCCACGGACAGCAGACCGAGCTCTCCCAGGCGCCGAACCTGATCCGCCGGATAGAGCTCCTCGCGATCGTGGTGGCGCGCCTTTGGTGCCAGTTCCGCATTGGCGAACTCCCGGCACGTCCTCTGCAATATCTGATGGGTCTCGGAGAGAGCTGCCAGGCAAGCGATGCTCCTCCGGCCACCCGCTCCTCCTAGGCGGTTCAAGTTCCATGCGCCCCTCGCCGAGCATTGACCTGAAAAAACGCGGATATGTAAAGCGGCCGGCCGATCCGCCGGCTTGTTCTGATTGGGAATCAACAATTCTCCTCACCTAGCGTCCGCACCACTTTAAACAGCTGCTGCATAGCGTCGTGCCAAGAACTCGATTTGCTCCGGGTTGTTGATACACTTTTATATCGCCAAGCACTGGCCGATCCAACCCGGATCGAACATTATCGAGCGATCGATATTATCCGTACGCTCTCCCCATTCTTATCCGTCCACCAATTGAGTCGCTTCTATCCGGTTTTGTTATCGGCTTTGTTAAAACGATAACTTTTGTTAGTTTCCGTAAGCTCTGCAAGAGGGCGCATCATGACAAGCGATTCAAAAATGGGTTTCCAATCAATTTTTTGAATATATTCTTAAGGGTTTATTTATTCATAAATCAAATATTATCGTTAACGTATCTGAGACATACAATATACATATGCTTTTTACATTACCTTTAAAAACTAACAGCAGCCATGCAATTTAAATGCAGCCAGCAACCTTAATTCTATAATCCAAAAATTACAATTTGTTTATGAGTACCTTTTTTTCGAACACCACGAGCTAAAGAAAGAAAGGGTCAAGCGGTGGGAAATGAAATGGAAAAGGTTCAACGCTTTTGGAAATTCCCATTAATAAAACAGTTTCCTGATGGGCTATTCGAAATTAATTTGCAATGCTAATCTCTGGTACACACCCACTTTTTGTGGGAAGAAGCAAAATAATTCACTTGCAGAATTGCTAAATCGGTTACAATGTAAATGTGGACTTTGAAAAGGTTCCGTTTATTTTAAATTCGATTTTAACTAAAGTATAATCGTTTCTTCCGAAAGAATTGGATGAATATTGGCAAAGATATAGCCATCGCTGCGTGGCATATTGTCCTCCCCGAAAAATAATTTCGTTTCAGGATTTTGATGCAGATTGATGGAGAATCGATCTACAAATCGTTTAAGGTATTCCCCGCAAGAATCGGATGATTATTGACAAAGATATAGCCATCGCTGCGTGGCATATTGTCCTCCCCGGGCATTTTGCCGTTTTTGAAGGGGATCCCCTGGAAAATTTGACAAAAAATCGAAAAATAATTTCGTTTCAGGATTTTGATGCAGATTGATGGAAAATCGATCTACAAATCGTTTAAGGTATTCCCCGCAAGAATCCGATGATTATTGGCAAAGATATAGCCATCGCTGGGTGGTATATTGTCCTCATCCTGTTTCGCCTAGTATATTTTATTTAAAATATTATTTTAAAAAATTATTTATTGTCATTTATTTATTATTTATCTAAAAACAAAAATTATGAAAATTAAAATAATAAATTTTAGTTGTTTGTCCGTGGGAACCTGCAAATGGCTGCAAATGGAGCCTCAAAAGTTCGTGTAAGCTGTTTCCCAGCAACAAATCTGTAGTTAGTTCATATCTGAACCGTGTAGATGGCGCTGGAAGTTGTTTTAGTGAATACTCAAACCCAAATAAAATCAAGTAGGCCGAAGAAAACCAATTTTTGGTTTAAAAAATAAACCTTCCAATTTACTCATATTAGCCTCTAGCAACTCAAAAACTGTTCCAAATTATAGAATTTGCTTAATAGCCAGGGAAGCTGTTTTTAGCCAAAATACGACATGAACTATTTGATTCAACGCGGAAAGGTACGCCAGCAGGCTATCAACGTGCCGGAAGGATTGCCGGAAATACTCTCAGACATCACCCGGGAGGTGTTGAGGTGCCAGCCGACCAAGGAGTGCCTCTGCCAGTTCATCATTGACTACCTGCACTCCGTAATTGTGACCAGGGAGAAGGCTCTAGGTAAATGTAGTGAATGTTGGTAAAAAGACAATCACATTAAATATTTGTTCTCAGTGGCCAAAACCATTTTGGACAGGGCCCTACGCCAAGTGGATAGCATTATCTCGGACCTGTGCGTCTGCGACCTATCCAAAGAAAAGTCGGAGCTGATGGGCCAAGTGTTGGAGGACTGTTTCCGTAACTTCTTAGAGAAGCGCCGCTGCGAGATGCGCCGTGGCAAGCAGACCATAAACTTTGAGGATGTCGACATCCTGGAGGAACTGCTCGCGAAGTGCCATTTCTCCGATGAGGAGTTGGTTCTTTCACGACCTGCCATAGAGGGTGCCTACAAGCGCTTCGTGGAAGCTTACATGGCAGCCCAAAAGGGCGCCGACGGTACGGAGCTCCTCTATCAGTACTTCCGCGATCGGGAAATGAAGCGAATCCAGGAGTCCATGCGCGAACAAGCGGCTATTACGATCCAAGCGGCCTGGCGCGGATACTATGTGCGCACCCAGTTTCCGAAGCATATCTGTGTATGCACCTGTGCGCTGGTTAGTTGAGGGGACTTTTTATTTTAGCTTAATAACTTTTAAAGTTTCATCTTCGCAGGATAAAGAGGGCGATGAGGAAGAGAGGCGCAGGAACGAGGCGGCTATGGTTCTTCAACGCTTTTTCCGCAGGGTTATGCTGGTAATTCGATTCTATAGTTTTTTCAAGGAAAAAAAATCTATTCTTATCCTCTTCCCAGCGCGCTGCTACTAAGCCGGTACCGGATCCTTGCGCTGATCCATCCCCACACTTCTCAAAGGAGGACAGCTCTTCGCCTTATGGCACGAAGGATCTCGAAAGCACTACTGCACCAGAACCTGCACCTGGAACTGCTACTGGAACTGCAGCTGGAACTGCTCCTGGAACTGCACCTGGAACTGCCCCTGGAACTGCACCGGCATCGGGTCCAGCAACGGCACGCGGCTCTGATATGAATGTAGATCATGTGGAAGAAGCAGCTCCCGCCGAGGGTGAAGCTCCAGCAGCAGATGCTGCCCCCGAGGGTTCTGCACCAGCAGAAGCTGCACCTGCGGCCGAAGTCCAAGAAGCGCCCGCAGAAGCCCCGCCTGCAGAAGAGGCACCACCTGCAGAGGCTGCTCCACCCGCCGAGGAAGCGCCACCAGCCGAGGAAGCAGCACCGCCACCGCCAGCAGAAGAGTCTGCGCCACCGGCTGAAGAAGCCGCGCCCGCAGAAGCCCCGCCAGAAGAAGCACCAGCCGAATAGGAGTCTATCGCTTTGATTTATTTTTTTTTTTTTGCTTTTTTGTTAAATTATTGTTCCCGGCAAATGAACAAAGCAAAGGCAATAACAAATCTGCCTTGGTCTAAGAATCCAGATGACCCTCTATCCATTCAGTAAAGGTCGACACACGGGTGTAGACATCCGGGGATATGAAGAGACCACAAACAACCAAGCCATAGGATACTATGCCTACTTGTTTTAGGCCTCCGTCCTCTGTCATTACCAATGGTCCACCAGAATCGCCCTATGGGTTATAAACTAAGTGACACAATTCAAACAAGGCAACAATCCATATAAACCTACCGAACAAGCACCTCTGAAGGGTCCTCTGGCGCAGACTTCTGTGTCCGTGACACTATCCATGCCAGCTCTTCTGCACTGATCGTTCGTAATCGTGTTATAGCTCATGCGTTGCAGGACATTCGGGTAGTTGAGACTGTCCAGGAAGGGGAAAGGTACCGGGAGGCGTAAACCCCATCCAGTCAGGGTCACTGGAACTCCTCCACCCACGTAATTTGACTGTAAGCCAATGGCACTGATGCTTGTGTTGTCAAATTGAAGCGGAGGATCTATATTGAGGACAGCTAGGTCGCTGGTGACCAGTTCCTTGTAATCCGGATGAATGTCGAAGGAGAGAACCTTGGAGCGGGATCCCTTATCTTTCAGGCTTCGTATTCCGGCCACCACGGACATGCGACTGACATTCAAGCCCTGACAACAGTGGGCAGCGGTAAGGATGCGATTTGGGGCAATGATAGATCCTCCACAGAAATGCATCTGCCCATTGCGAGTCTCATACTGGAGGGATACTTGATAGGGAACATATTGCCCTGCTGGGACATCCGATCCTCCCACAATCCGATGGGGTGGGTCTCCACTAGGCTGGCGGGCTAGAAAATATTTGTAATAACTATGATACCACTTGTTAGTTAATAACTCACAGTTGAGCCGCCCAAAGACACCTTCTATGGCTAAAACCACAATCAGCAGCAACTCTAATGGAGCCATTGTCACTTGGTTAATGTCGAGGGCTTCGCATCAGTCTCGCTACTTAAGTAAAAAACTTGGCCCCCATATGGAGTAAAATTAGCATAGGTATCGCAAATATCTGGCACAGTTAGAAACTTGGTTATGCCATTAAAATTGTTCTTGAAATTGAAATTATAATGAGCCATTCTGCTGGTAACGTAACCCAGTTAGCTTTTTGGCGATTATCTATTCGCGAATGAGTGTTCTGTTTTCAGTAAGAGTGTTAGAAGAGTAGTTGCTTTCAGAGAAATTATCTTTATTCATCCATTGACAATAAATATTTTGCAATTTTTAAGCCATTCTCTCTTTTATCCAGCCATCGAACATGGACACTCGGGTATAGACATCCGGATTATTGGATGCACAGAAGGCAGTTCCATAGGAGACCACTCCGACTTGCTTCACAGTCTCGCCACTGCGCATTACCAAAGGCCCGCCAGAGTCACCCTAAAATTGGGGATATTATAAAAAGTATCTTAAAAAGCTAAATGCATCTTACATTGCAGGCCCCTTTGCCGAACCTCTCGAGGGCGCAGATCTCAGTATCCGTCAGTTGGGACATAGTTTCCTTGCATTTTTGGTTGCTCAGGGTTTTGTATTCCAATTTCTGCAACACTGTGGGGTACTTGGCAAAGGGACCAGTGCCAAAGTGAAACACCGATCCCCAGCCCGTGAGGAGGACCTCCTGCCCAGCACCCACCATGTCCGAACCACTCACATCAATGGTGGACACTCGTTTCTCGTCGAGCTCGAAGGGAGGATCGATCTTAAGAATGGCGATGTCGCTGGTAACCAGTTCCTGGTAGTTCTCGTTCATCTCGTATGATTGCACTTGGGAACGGAAGCCAGTGGTGTCCTCCAGATCCCTGATTCCAGCCACAACGCTGATGCGACTGGCATTCTGGCCATTGACACAATGAGCGGCGGTGAGGACGCGGTTTGGAGCGATTAGTGAGCCACCACAGAAGTGTCGCTGTTTGCCACTGCGGGTGAGGAACTGCATGGAAATCTGGTATGGCACATACTCATCCTGGGGGACATCGTAGCCGCCCACAACTCGTTCATGGGAATTGGTGTCCGCCTCCTCGAAAAACTTGTCCACTGAGTGAGTTTCGTATTTAGTTATTTTCCTTTTGGTTAATGAGTCTTTACTTACAGTCGATTACACTGTTCATAGGCTTGCACTGGGCCACTGCCAGCAAGGATGCCAGTAGCAGCAGGATGTACATTACTCCGTTCATGGTGAGACTTTGCTTAGAACTGACAATGCATCCGAAGTTTATATACCATTTCCTAAGCCCCAATTAAGTGGGTTTTTTTGTTCTATTCGATTCATTTGAATTTTATCTAGTGCAGCTGTGGGTGGTCGTTCCACCCAATGTAATGGCAATGGGTTACAATGTTACGCTGGGCACTGATATCACGTATTGGGGGAAAGGAAAAGTCAGTTGTGGAAGCGTCACTTGAAAGAGTATTTTGAAAAGTAAATAAAATCATAAACAGCATTAAAAAAAAACCCATCCTTTATTATATTCTCAACTGTTAACACCGACTTCCTCAATTCTTGGGAATACCATCAAGTAAACAAAAAAAGATGTGGAAAGATCGCCTACCTCACCCAACCACCTTTTTTCCACTCGATCTGTCTCAGAGTTTTAATCAGAGAATAATTTAAATATTCCGATTAAACGAGCACGTCTCGGACGGCAGCGGACATTTCTTTTAATTCAATGTGCTGGTCGGAGGACATGGAGACCTGCCGCTGGCAATCAACACCGTGGACACCTCGGAGGCAGTACCCAGGAAGGAGCAGCTATCTTACTTGTTCGATGCAAATCAAGCTGGGTTGCAGCTTCGGTTTCTGGCTCAATTTCAGACTCACTCCTGCTTGGATTTGTGTATTTTCCTGCCAGATCCCTGGGCGGGCTGGCAGAAGCGCTGTCTGGTCCACATTCGGAATCGGAGTCAGTCCGAGTCAGTGGTGCATGTGTCAGTTCCGGGGCTGATTGCATCCAGCTAATGAATCATTTTGCTACTCCTTTTGGGCGGGGCTGGACATGGAGTAATACAGTGAGCAAAAACAAACGTATCTAGGAAGTTTTTTAAGGAGATAAAAAAACATAAAGTGTTTCATCAATACGTTTTTGTTTTCAGTGCATAGGACTCCCTCTCCGAATGGACTGTGTGTGGCGCACTGGCGAAAATTAATTATGCACACCTCTTGGTTTCGTGGCGATTCCGCTGCGTGGTGGACGCTGTTGAGGTCTTGATCTTTGGACTACTGTGTTAATTGTCCTGAGCCGCGATGCAGTGGCTCCAGCCACGAAGCCAGCGAACCGATTTGAACCCGAAATGGCTTTATTATATCGGTCCTGAAGCCCCACCCACAGGATGTGTCTGGGCATCTGCATCTGAATCAGAGTCTGACTTCGGCTCTGGCGCCTGTCGTGTTGCTTCTGTGCTTGGCTTTTGTTAATTGGACCACCCTGTCAAGGCATGACTTATCTGTGGATTTTTATTCTTAATTCCAGCATCTCATTTGCATATGAGCTTTCGGTGCCTTGAGCCTGGTTGACGAGTTAATCCGTATGTTAACTCATTAGGATATGTTCTAGCCAAGAAAGTTTATACAAAGGGTGGGTTCTAAATAAATATTAATGTGGCTAAGATGGAATATAAGACGTTGCTTATTAATAAATTATATTTAATTATCAGGATGTCTCATATGTTAGTTTTTTATTAAAATTATTACAATCTGGTAAGCGAATAATTAATTTCCTTGTTTCCAGTAAATTTTGAACATCTTGCGATTCTCCAGTTGATGCTCAAAATTCTCACTAATAAAATGCACTTTAATCATTTCATCAGCAATGCCACGAAGCGGAGGATATGGTCGAGGGCTTGTGAATCGGTTCGGTGTTAACAAGATAAGCATTCATTCTACCTGTCCGGCCCGACGGAACGCCATCATTATTATGACATTTCGCTTGATTGCCTGCTCCATTCATGGCCATGTTCGCCAGCCAACTTCTGGAGAATTGTGCGTGTGGCCAAGAGGAACGCATTCGGGTTCGGTGCAATTTTTATGGCTTTTTGTTTTCGGGATTTGTTTTTCTGTTTGTCGTTTTGCCGCAGCCGTCTTCGCAGTGATTTATCGGCCGACTTCATAAAGCAGAGCCGCTGGTTTTATGATCTGCCTGAAGTGGAAATAGTGGCGTTTTTATGTCTGCTCCGAAATCCAGTAGCCGGCCGAGAGGGATTTATAGTGACCGCCTTGATTGGAGGTCACGAAGCGTGGGATCAGGTGTGGGATCCAAGCGAAAAGTTTCCTTTGGAAAGCCAAATATATTCGAAAGACTGAGGTCCGATACGAATAAACGAGATCAACTCGGAAAGCCGAATGAGTTTTCCACTCTCTTAGGCAATTAATTTTCGCATTCGTTTCCAGGTGGAAAATTAATTGCGTGTTTTGCATAATCAGTAAATTGGTCGTTTATTTTAGTACTTAATTTGCTCAGTCTCGCGTCACAAGGTACCCGAACCGATCCTATATGGCCCCCTTCGCTCGGGTCTCGGTCTTGTAAATTATGACTCTCGAATCCAAGCACATGCAGCGATGCTGGCCATGGCCCGAGCATTGGGCAAATTAAACAGATTTTTATTTGCAAATCAGATAAGAGATCATGCCACAGAGCAGGGCGCAGATACAGATACACGGCTACAGATTCAGCGGCAGATACAGATACGAATATAGCCGAGGCTAGAGCTGGCTTAATATTTATCGGTCGCGTGAGCTTGTTACCTAATTGATGACAACAGGTAGGCGCTTCTGTCACACCAAAAAGCTTGATTTTTAACTTTTTTTATGATTAACAGGCACGCAATGAGGAAATAAAGAATGAAAAAGTTGGCACATGTTAGGTAGACTTTATACAGAATACCTTAGCATTATGGCTTGTAATTATTTTATTAATTCTGGAATTGTCGAAAAATGTATTTATTTAATTGTGCTAAAATATACAGATTAAGAGCTGTATTATTTTGTTTAAACTCAACCCAGATTACTTTGGTTTTCAAGATCACAAACATTTGCATTCCCAAATAAGTGATAAGAGCCACTTGATCTGGCTTGGTATAAAAACCATTGCAGGTAAGTTGCAGCTATCAATCACTTAAGGAACTTCACCAGAGAGAGCTTATAAGAATATGGAAGTCGTAAAGTTACTGAGTCTCTTTTTCATCCTTCATCGGGCTCTTGCCGAAGTAGTGACTCCGTCAGACATCACCGAATCCCCCATCCGGATTAACGGTGGCCAACTGGTAAACGAGACGGTGCCTTTCCAGGTCTCTCTGCAGCTCCAGAGACGGGGTCGCTGGCAGCACTTTTGTGGTGGTTCCATCATCAGTGCCCAGCATGTCCTGACCGCAGCCCACTGCATGGAAAAGATGAAGGTAGAGGACGTGAGTGTGGTTGGTGGGACTCTGAACTGGAAGGCGGGTGGCTTGCGCCATCGAGTGCTGGCAAAGCATGTGCATCCCCAGTACTCCATGAGCCCAAAGATCATCAACGACATTGCTCTGGTACGAGTAACACCTCCATTCCGCTTGGAGCGAGCGGACATTGGAACCGTCCAACTGGGAGGCTCCGATCGAATTGGCGAGAAAGTGCCGGTTCGCCTCACTGGCTGGGGATCCACCACCTCGGCCACCTCCTCCGCCAAGCTGCCGGATCAGCTACAGGCTCTGAACTACCGCACCATTTCAAATGAGGAATGTAACCAAAAGGGTTTCCGAGTGACCCGCAACGAGATTTGCGCCCTTGCTGTTCAGGGACAAGGGGCGTGTGTGGTAAGTCAATGTAAGGTATTATTCAAGTTATATGTAATAATAATGCTATTTTTATTTAAATTAGGGTGACTCTGGAGGGCCTCTGATTAAGGCTGGACCACAGCCACATCTGGTGGGGATTGTGTCCTACGGCTCGTCCACCTGTGCCCAGGGAAGGCTCGATGTTTACACGCGAGTCTCCAGCTTCTTGCCCTACATCAGCCAGGTGATCAACCAGGATCTCTCCCAATAAATAGCCTCACACTGTGCATAAATAAAGCAACTTCATCGCGAGTCCGAGCTTGAGAAAACTCTTCCTTGCGTTCAGAACCCAAGCTATGGGTATCTCCTCTGGTGCATTTAGGCGACTAATTAAAAATCTTGTTCAATATTCGCCACAACCGAGAGAAAGGCAGGAGGATGAGGGGTCGGGTGGGGCGACCAGAGTCGCCTCTCCATCTTCATGGTCTAGGCTTGGCCAGGCTCCAGCAAAACTTCGGCTGCCGCCTGCCAGGGCGACCATGATAAATGCAAAAAGCAATTTATCGCGCATTTAACTCAATTCAGTTTCTTTATGGCCGCTGGATTCTGGGGGAGGTGGCGGAGGAGGAGCAGGAGCATGAGGTGGGATGTCTGCCACAAAGTTTGCCCGGCTGACACGCACACTGGGGCACTCGAAGGAGGCTCCTCTCCGAAAACTCGAAACACTTGGCCCGGGCCTGTAATTCGATATTAGACTTTATGCGCGACAAATACGAAGTGCAAACATTTTTATGTTCCTTTAGTTTCTATGCTGGGGTCTGGTATGTGTGGTGGAAACGATTTAACGGGGCGCCGACTTTGACTCGTCTTCGACTTTAGCTTTAACTCCGGTCGGCTCGCACTGCGGCCGTGTAATTAAGTTCAAATAATGTGGAGCTCATGCCTTCTGCTGAGCAAGACACGCTGGCCGGGCTTCCTCCTCGAAGAGAAGGTGCCGAAGGTATGTCAAGTCTTCCAGCTCGTTTCACGCTCTCAATTTACTAGATCAAAGCTCGCCACGCTCTCGGAGCATAACATGCAAACGCTCCAAATCTGGCCTCGACAGCGGGTCAAATGCTCTAAGGTCTTAGCCGGCCATCCAAAGACATCTAAAGCCTTCCAAAGCCCGTCGAAAACCAAAACAGCAATGATGGAGAAAGAGTGGGGACTGCGAGTCGGTCAGTGCTCACCATATAAATTCATTTAGATCAATCAATTCAATTTGTTTGTCAATAAGACCTAAATGAGTATTTCATTTAAACAAATTAAAATTCGACCCATTCGGAATGCCAGACTCATCCCCGGGCAATTAAAATTGACGCGACACACTCGACTCCCTGATTTCTTAAACGAGCCCAATGGAAACACATATAAATATGACTGGACTTTGGCTCAGACCCAGACCCAGACCCGGAGCCATATCCAGACCAGAGACCCAGACCCCAGGCCATGGGACCCAAAGAGGCAGCTTCTGCTGTTGACTTTTCATTGTCAATTAAAATCAAATAAATTTATTTGCAGCTTGACATTCGCCTGGCCGGTCCCGCAATCTTCCCAGATTCCATGAGTTTTTCATACGCGGTTTTGAGGTTGGCATGCAAGTGCATTGAGCTGATTGTTGGCTACTTGGCCTTGCCCTGATTGGCCACCGCTTCCATGGCCTTCCTTACGGTTTCCGGATCGCCGAGGAACTTGAGCGTCCCGATGGGCTTTAGGTTCTCGTCCAGTTGATAGACGAATGGTATACCAGTGGGCAGGTTCAGGGCCATAATGCCCTCATCGGAAATGCACTCCAAGTGCTTGACTACGCCCCGCAGACTATTGCCGTGGGCCGCCACCAGGATGTTCTTCCCCTCCTTGATCTGGGGCTCGATCACCTCGTTCCAGTACGGAAGTGTGCGCTTGATGGTGAGCTTCAAGGACTCGGACTTGGGAAACTCGTCTGGTTTTAACTGGTCTTTGTATCGCGGGTCATTGGCGATGCAGTCATAGTACTTGTGATCCTTCTCCATGGGTGGTGGTGGGGTGTCGAAACTGCGGCGCCAGATTTGAACTTTTTCCTCGCCAAACTTTTTGGCGGTCTCCGCCTTATTCAGTCCAGTCAGCCCGCCGTAGTGTCGCTCATTGAGTCGCCATGTCTTGCACACGGGAATCTTTTTGTGCTCGGCCGCCTCCATGACAATCTTCAACGTATCGTTGGCACGGGTCAACATCGAGGTGTGGGCTATGTCAAACTTATATTTGCCCTTCTTGAGGGCCAGTCCCGCGGCACAAGCTTCCTGTTTGCCTTTGTCGGTCAGTTGGGCATCGTACCAACCCGCAAATAGATTCTGCTGATTCCATTCGGACTCCCCGTGTCGCAGCATTACGATCTGGTACTTTCCCTTCTTTTCGTTACAGTCGGAGGATCCCTTAGTGTATGAGCGCAGAGGTTTGGCGGGTGACAGGCGGCGTAGGCAGTTGCCACAGTTTCTGGCCAGAGCCAACATTATGAAAGACGTTTAATTTTGAATGATGTAACAACAACACTACATACTCATTGGATGTGATTTTTTTAGGTCTATTCGACCTTACTGTGTAGTGAAGCTGTGATCGGTGACGAAAACAACAAACTCTAAGTACACAAGATCAAAAAAATTTTTTAATATAGTTCTGAAAATCATGGCCTAGTCAGATCATTGTATCTCACCAGCCGCTTCCACTATAAACCAATAAAAATACAAATTTTAATTTTATTCTGCTTCGGTGTTTCTTCGATGGAAACTTATTGGCGGTGAAATAGTCAGCTTCATACTTATATTATCCACAAAGACAAGATCTTCATATCGAAAACTAGTGCTTAACTTGTAACTTCTGAGAATTTGGGTTAGGGCTATTTTTGACGATATCATTGCATATCTCCAGCCTGAAAAGATGGAAATTTTGAACTCTCAATAAATTAACATATGATGCAGCAATCGAACCTATACAATTTCTTTTTCCCTTTGAAAAGGGCATGAAGGCATAAGGATGCCGCTCGCGAACATTTTCGGGTAAAAAATTGTCAGGATTGAAGGTGTCAGCTTCTGGTCCCCAAAGATCCTTGTTGCGGTGCATGTTGAATATGTCGACGAAAACAGCTACACCTTTGGGAACAAGCACTCCATTAGAAAGTTGAAAGTCTTCCTGAGTATCTCTGGCAAGGATCGGAACGGACGGGATTAGTCGCATGGTTTCATTTAAAACGCGATCTAGATACACCAATTTTTGGAGGTTCTCGTGCTCGACTTCGAAGTCTCCACCAGCCGGGAAGACCTCTTCTAGCTCCTCGAAAACAATGTCCTGGTACTTCGGAAACATGGCGAGGAGAATAAGAGTATGATGAACTGTAAGAGCTGTTGTCTCAAAGGCAGCCCCAACCATATTATAGCACTCCCCCTTCACTTCTTGTAAACCTATTTCATCCTTCCGATAAAGTTCCATAATTCGGTTGATGACAATGTGTTTAGCTGAATCTGTACCAGACTCCGGTTCCGAATTTAGTTTTAAGCCAATAATCTATATAAGCCGATTTCGTTTTAGTAATGTTGTGGTCAAGAGCTACGTTGCTTAGTACTTACTGGATCCATGAGAGAACTAATTTTTGATATTTCTTGTTTTTTCTTTTTTTCCAATCCAAAAAGATTGGAGATGGTTTTGTTTCGGCAAATGGGCAGTAATATTTGAACAACAATCAATATTATAAGGCTGAAAAGATATTTAGTAATGCAATGCATTCATGTTATGATTCATGATTACAATATAAACTTCTTACTGTTCCCAAGAATCGATAGGAGAATTGTTTTTAAAATTCTTCTCATTTTGCTCCTTAGCGCCCAGTGTGGTTTCTAGAGTTTGGGAAATATTAACTCAAAAAAAAAAAAATGCGCTTCATATACTTACGGTGTGCTATTCTTAAAGACCATCTTAGTAATGGTTTTAACAAATCTTTTTCACCTTGACCCACGAAATTGTCCATTTCAGCGACCAGAGCTCTTGTTTCAAAGTTGAAGATGGGAAGAAAACTGAGCAAGACATTGTGCTTAAAACTGGAATTCATATGCTTTCGACGTGCAGCCCATTCAGTACCTTTAAATTATTACTCATAAATTTTAAAATATGAGCCCCTATGACATATCTCAAACCTTGTAGAGTCAATAACCCGATTCCAAATAGATCTTCTATGGCACTTGCTACCCGCCAAGTCCGATTGAGACAATTTGGGGAAGTAAGAATATCCTCAGCGATCTTAGGATCTCGAGTGACAATGACGGGCGTGATGCCGACCCAGGTTAAAATGGTTGAACCATAATTGTCCAAGTACTTGGTGCGCTTAATGATTCTTACTGCAAATGCACAAAAAAATTAAAGTACATATTTGTATGGTTAATTTATAAAAATAAAAATATGTCCTACCTTTGTTGATTCCATATTCTGCAGCGACACCAATAAGTGGAAGACCCATAGGTCCAGGTATCTGAAACATTAGCTTATAGAATCTGCGGCGGGTCCACAAAAAATGTATCCAGACTAATATTCCAACAAGGCTCAAAAGGTAAATAGAGAGCATGGCGATGGGTAGGCTTACTCTTCTGCGTTCGCTTTTTAACTAACATGGCTATTAGTTTTCCACGGTGGCTTTTATATATTCGGGTAGGCCTAACTTATTGCTTACTACTGAATAACAAGGTATCAAAAGTGTAAAGTACACTAGAGGTGAAGGTTCCAGCTTCCGCCTAATAAGCTCACTTATCGCTTTCTATATGTGCCGTGCTTAATCAAAGTTCCTACCTACATTAAAAAAAAGATAGAGCACCATAACAGATAATAGCTAATGGCCTGTGTGCAAAGTAACATTTCTGGTAAAAAAATTTAGTATTTCTTTTATGAGCTATTTTTTTAACAGTGGAATTACTAGCAGAGTAAAAACTCTATTTATTAATACATATTTGTAATTAGTATTTGTATCTTTAGTGTAGCTTAAAAAATGTGTAAAATATGCACAATAACAATCAGTTTATTTCAAAATCTTTTTTGAAAGTTCAACAAAGGTATTTCTTTCAGAAATATTGGGACACCTTGAATGTATTCGAGATCTTCATACCGAAAATTTGTACTTAATTTATATTTCCAGAATATCATGGCCAAGGCTATTTTTAGAGGTATTGGAGCATATCTTGAGCCTGAAATATACAACATTTAATTATGTATCAATAAAAAAAAAACAAAATTTAAAAAACCTATGCAATTTCTCCGGCCTTTTCCAAATGGCATGAAGGCACTAGGATGACGGTCTCGCATATTATCAGGAAGAAAATTATTGGGATTAAAAATGTCGGCATCGGGTCCCCATAAGTCCTTGTTGCGGTGAAGGTTAAAAACATCGATCAAAACAGTCACACCATTGGGAATGAGGTTACCATTCGACAGTCGAATATCACCTTTCAGCTCTCTCGGAACGGACGGAACCGTTGGAAGTAAACGCAAGATTTCATTGAACACTCGATCCATATATTCCAGTTTTTGGAGATCTTCGTTGGTCACATCGATGGGTCCAGAACTCGGAAAGACCCTCGTGAGCTCCTCATAGACAAGGTCCTGGTATTCAGGAAACATGGCCAATAGAATTAGACTATGTGTGACTGTAAACGCTGTGGTTTCGTATGAGGCAATCAACAAACCAACACACTCTCCTTTTAAGTCGATATAATCCATTTTGCCATTTCTATAAAGGTCAATCAGCAAGTTTATTACTGTGTTGTTTGAGGAGTCTGAACACTTTTCGGGATTCGAATTCAGTTTGGCGCCAATTACCTGAAATATAAAATCCTTAATAATTATTAAGACAAAAATAACCTACTTACTTTTTCTAGAAACGTATCAATCTTTTCAAAGAGCTCTGCTTTTTCTTTTCCAAACCCAAAAATATTAGAAATGAAATTATTCCTACGCAGAGGTTGGTAAATATTAAGAATCGTCGTCATCGAGTACCTGTAAAAATATCTCATAAAATATTGCTTCAAAGATGGTATTTTCTTACAATCGTGCAAAATGAAGGATTTCATTATTTTGGAACTCGGCATATTGCTCAACATCAGTGTCAAATATGGTTTCTAAATAAAATAAATAAGGACCAATGAAATTGGGATAAATGACCATAGTTCTGTTTTATGTATTCTTACGATTTGCAATTTTAAACGACCATCTGAGTAAATCAGATAGTATATTTATTTCACCTTGATCCACAAAAGTATCCATCAGAGAAATTAAAGATTTGGTCTCCGCATTAAAAATAGGAAGGAAACTGAGAAGGACATTCATTTTAAAAGAGACGTTTATATGCTTGCGGCGTTCATTCCATACTGGTTCTAAAAAAAAAAATTTAATGCATTTTTAACACGCCCAATTCTCATTCTATCTTTTTGCACCTTTTAGGGACAAAATCCCAACATCAAAAAACTCTCCAATCTCTTTGTTAGCGACCTCAGGTCTATTAAGGCATTGTGAGGATGTGAGGAAATCTTTGGCAATATCTGGATCACGGGTAATTATGATCGGCTTTAACGGCAATATAAACAAGGAAGTAGAGCCATTTATGTAAAATAATGAAGTACTTTTGAAAGATGGTACTGCGCATAAATAAGATATATAAGAGGCAGATTCCATGTCACTAAATTTTATCTTATACTTACATGCAGTATCAAAGAAATCAAGCTGTGAGTCGTTAAGGGGGAAGCCCAATGGTCCGGGTAAATGGAAAAATAGCCTGATAAGCTTGCGCCTACTCCATAATAAGTATAAACACCCTACGAACACAGCAATAACCAAAATTGGATAAACGAACATTTCGATTTTTATATAAAACTCTGAGCCTCTCGCAAACAATCAATTTGAAACCGTTTTACATTCTAAATTAGCGATATTGATGCAGCTGGGGTTTTTATACATAAAATGCCCGGTCCCAAGATTTGACCTAAAACACATTACTTTCCTCACCTGTGGCTTCCAAAAATATAATTGGTATAATTGGTTATAATTGGTAGAACTCATTAAATTATATGACAGTCATACAATGGTCGAAAATATTAATATAAAATATCTCCATTATACAAACACGTATTACAACATGTGTATTATTTGCAACGAATTTGTCAATTTAATATTTTCTTATACATTCTCTATTTTGTTTTTCATTTTCGAAAATATTTCGATTCGTTCAAACTCTAGAAGATGTGATTTATCCAGCTTCATTCTGACATTATCAACAAAAACTAGGTCTTCATATCGAGATCTAGTGCTAAGTCTGTAGTTTCTGAGAATCCTGGCCAACGCAATTTTTGACAAAATTAACGAATATATTATAGCACTCTCCTTTCACTTCTTGTAAGCCTATTTCGTCCTTCTGATGAAGTTCCATTAATCGGTTAATGACAATGTGTTTAGCTAAATCTGTACCAGACTCCGGTTGCGAATTTAGTTTTGAGCCAATAATCTAGATAAACCGATTTCATTTTAGTAATGTTTTGGTTTAGAGCTACGTTGTTTAATACTTACTGGATCTATGAGAGAACTAATTTTTGATGACTCTTGATGACTTCCTACTTAGTAGGGATGTAGAATAGACATGGTTATAGCGACACGACTATTGATGCTGATCAAGAATCAATATACTTTGCGGGATCGGATATGATTCCTGTTATAAAGCCGTTCCTGTTATAGAATCCAGTCAAGAGTAATTTGTAGATCTTAACATTAGATCGTAAAGTTAATTAACACGTTACTTAAGGCCAATTAATAGTCAACATTACAATAAAAGCAGTACAAGAACAATAAAATTTAAACAAACTAATGCCACATCTCTATGAAAATTGCACTTTGAAAATCGCATGAAGGCACAAGGTTGACGGTCACGCATTATCTTATTATTATTAACTCGGTATAATAAATTTTTCTATTTCTATAAAGCTCAATCAGTAAGTTTATTACTGTGTTGTTGGTGTCAGAACAATTTTCATACATACAACCGTGTTCTAATAAAGAAATTGATTTCTGAGCCTAGAAGAAGGAGTCCAAAAGATCCTGTTAAATGGCGAACTACTCGGAAAAGCTTGCAGCGACTTTATTACAAATATATGAAAAGTACTTTACAAAATTGTGGCCAAGACTACTAAAAATATTAATTACAATTAATAAAGGGCATAACCCACAAAAATTGATTAAATTTATATATTTGTTTTATTTGTTGTTTTTATTCTGAAATTTTCACCTTCGTTGAAAGTGTAGAAGAGGTGATTTCTCCAGCTTCATTACTATATTATCAATAAAGACTAGGTCTTCATACCGAAAACTAGTGCTGAGTTTGTAATTTCTGAGAATCCTGGCCAAGGTAATTTTGGACAAAATTAATGCGTATCTCCAGCCTGAAAGTAATAAATTAAACATTACTTTATTTAACTATAAATATAGCTTTATCGAACCTATACAATTTCTCCTCCCGTTTGAAAAAGGCATGAAGGCATAAGGATGCCGTTTGCGAACATTATCGGGCAAAAAATTGTCTGGGTTGAAAGTATGAGCGTCTGGGCCCCAATATTCCTTGTTGCGGTGGATATTGAATATATCCACGATAATGGCAACACCTTTCGGAACAAGGACTTTATTTGACAGGCGAAAGTCTTCATTGGCATTTCTTACAGTAACCCCAGCGGATGGAATCAAACGCAGGGTTTCATTTAAAACGCGATCTAGATACACCAACTTTTTGAGGTCTTGGTACTCCACTACAAAATCTCCACTCTCCGGGTAGACTTCTTTTAGCTCTTCAAAGACCATGTCCTGGTAGTGGGGAAACATTGCTAATAGGATAAGAGCGTGATGAAGTGTTACAGCTGTGGTGTCGATGCCAGCCAGAACCATGTTACAGCACTCTCCTCTTATTTCATCCAAACTTATTTTTCCATTCTGATAAAGATCAATCATTCGGTTGATGACGGAGCTCGTGGGCAAGGTCGTACAGCTTTCCGTTTGAGAATTCAATTTGGAGTCAATGATCTGGAATATACCACTCCAGCTTTATGGCGTTTTGAACTAGTTACTTTTTTATTACTTACTTACCTTATTTATGAGAGTATTAATTTTGGAAAACTCGTGTGTTTTTTTCTTTTCCCAACCGATCATTTTGGATATTGTTTTGTTTTGAGAAACATTTATGAAAATTCCAATGATAATCAATTTCACGAGTCTGCAATGATATTTTTTAATGTAAAACCTTAATGATCAATTTAAAAATTACTTATTACGATTGCCAAGAGTCTATGAGAGCATTGTTCTTAAAATTCGCTTCGTCTTTAACGTCGATTCCCAGAGTTGTTTCTAGAATTCAAGAAGTATTAAACGGAAAACTATACGTTAAGTTAGATAGACTTACGATAAGCTATACTTAATGACCATCGAAGTAAATATGGCAACAAATAAATTCCATCATGTTCCACAAAAGTATCCATGTGAGTTACCAGAGTTTTTGACTTAGAATTGAAAACGGGAATGAAGCTGAGCAGGACATTTTGTTTAAAGCTGACATTCAAGTATTTTCGGCGTGCATTCCATGCAGTGCCTAATAAGGCTAATCTATATAATTATACAGTATATATTTTACAGACTCACACCTTGAAGAGTCACCAATCCGAGGCCAAAGATATTTTCCATTGCTTTTGTTACCCGGGAGTTTCTATTTAGAAACTTTGATGATGATAACACATCCTCGGCGATCCTAGGATCCCGCGACAATATAACTGGGGTAATCCCGATCCATGTCAAAATTGTTGAGCCATACTTGTCCATGTACTTGGTTCTCTGAATCATTTTTACTTGATTTATAGTGGGTTATGATAGTTTTTTAAAATTAAATAAATTTTATTTTTATTTATTATATTGATAATTTTACTGACAGTTATTTATAAAATATTCAGGTGCTAAGCCGAGAAAAGGTAGTCCCCAAGGACCTGGCAACTCAAGTATAAGTTTGTATAACCGGCGTCGACTCCACAAGAAGTATATTAATGTTAACAATCCAACAACAGTCAAGATAAGAGAACTTATCATGACCGTGATATTTCTGTTTTCTCGAAATGAACAATGTAGAACCAAGTTTCTTTCTAAATATGAGCTGAATGTAGGCTATGGTATTTATAGAAAATCTATCGACCCATCTAAAGAGAAAGGCGTTTTAGTTCTCACCTGAACAACTGTTTGGCACCTGTACTTATCGGTTTAAATGCAATATAAAACAGTCAATAAGTCTTACCAAATGTATAGTTATTAAGTTATGAACAATATTTTTAATGTTTTTTTTTTCTTCCATTAAATAACATTTTTAACCTTTTTAGTATAGTGTAAGGAAGAAATATTTAAAAGGTATATATTTTACCCATTTTTTTTAATATTATAGAAAACTCATGAATTTGAAAGTTGTTTAGACAAAAAAGCTGTCAAATGGTCAAGCAAAAATTAAAATATTTAATTTTAATTTCCTGAGGGTGTCTGATTTTACGCATTTGCGTATTACTTTTATCTTTTAATGTAAAGATAATAATAAAAAGAATATAAAGAATAATATATATAGTAACAAATAGTATATAATTCATTTTTTTAATAATTTATAAACGTTTAAAACCTAATGGAGAACAAGAAGTCTTAAGGAAACTATACAACATTAAAAATAATACTATAAACAAGTTCAGGATCGTTTTTATTCAAAGAATTTTTAGTTAACTTTTCTGTATATTTCATCACTTGGAAGTTCTTCTTTGAAATCGAAGGGGAGGCGGTTTACTTAGCTTTATTACTACACCATCAATAAAAACGAGATCTTCATACCGAAAAGTAGTGCTTATTTTGTAATATCTAAGAATCCTGGCCAAGGCAATCTTCGAAAAAGCAGGGCATAATTCCAGCCTGAAAATAATTAATTAAGGACTTTAAACGAAAAAATTAAACAATTTTCGCACCTATACAATTTCGTTTTCCCTTCGAAAAGGGAATAAAGGCATATGGATGCCGTTCTCGTACATTCTCGTCCAAAAAATTATCGGGGTTGAATGTTTCGGCGTTTGGACCCCAATAATCCTTGTTACGGTGAATATGAAATATGTCGACCATACAAACTACACCTTTTGGAACCACGACGTTATTTGAGAGGCGAATGTCTTCCTTTAAATCTCTAATAATGGTCGTAACGGACGGGATAAGGCGCAAGGTTTCTCTAAAAACGCGATCTAGGTATTCCAATTTCTGGAGGTCCGCGTACTCCACTTCAAAATCAACACCAGCCGGAAAGACATATTTAAGCTCTTCGAAGACAATTTCCTGGTACTGGGGAAACATGGCAAGGAGAATAAGAATATGATTGACGGTGGCTGCTGTAGAATTAGTTGCACCCTGAATGATATTGCAGCACTCTCCTCTCATTTCCTCAAAACTTATTTCTCCATTACGATGAAGTTCAATAAATCGGGTAATAACAGAATTTGATGACAAATCGAATTTTTCCTCGGTATGTGAATTCAGTTTATAGTTAATTATCTGGTTAGAAACATATTTATTGTGATAATTTTTTATTTAATTCGAGTTTTGGCTACTTACTTGGTCCATTTGAGTTTTTACTGTAGCTTTGGTTTTCTCGAAACCAAAAATTTTTGAAATTGTTTTATTTTGAAAAAGGGGTATCAAGACATTGATTACGATTAAATTTGAGAGTCTGAAATAATATTTTTAATTATAGCCAGTATAAAAATGATATGAAATAAAATTCTTACGAGGGCCCACATTCTAAGACGTCGTTAGTTCCAAACATCGTTTCCTCTACCTGTGTAATGTCCAACGTTGTCTCTATAGTTAATAAATCATAAACCTAAGAACATAAGCGTAAATAAGTTAACTTACGATGAGCAATACTGAAAGACCATCTAAGTAAATGTGGCAGCAAATCAGTTTTTTCCTTGCCCACGAAAGTTTCAATTTGGGCAACTAGACGTCGAGTCTCAGAATTAAAATTGGGAAAAAATTTGAGCAACTCATTTGGCTTAAAACTGGCATTCATAAGCTTTCTGCGTTTAATCCATGCAGTACCTAAAAAATTTGATTCAAATATTTAAAAAATATTTGAAAAAGTTTCAAAGCAATATAGCATTATCCTAAACCTTGCAACGACAATAATCCGGGTCCTAACACACTTTCAATCGCCTTTGTTAGGCGTGAGGTTCTATTAAGGCATTTTGGAGATGTTAAAATATCTTCTGCGATCTTAGCATCACCAGAAAGTAAAACTGGTTGAATGCCACCCCAGGCTAAAAGTGTAGAGCCGTACTTTTCCATGTACTTTGTACGCAGATTTAATTTAACTAAAAAAAAGTTATCTAAGTATTGGATGGGAACAACAGTTTTAAAGCTAACTTACAATTGTTTTTAATGTATTGCGGTGCTGAGCCAAGAAGGGGCAGTCCCAAAGGCCCAGGTAACTCAAATATAAGCGAATAAAACCGGCGTCGGCTCCATAGAAAGCACATTAACAAAATTAACCCCGCGACAGCCAAAATAGGAGTGATGAGCATGACGATTTGCTTCTAAACCTCCTGGAAACGAATTAGATAAAACAGTGGAGTTCCTAAATGAGCGCTTTATTTTATATGGCTGCGGTTTTTATAGGTATGCATGAGTTCCAGGTCACTAAATTGACCTGGTTAAGGTTAAAAAAAAAAGTTTTTTTTATGATGATATAATTTTAATAATATATAAATTAAGCATCAAAGAGGCCGGCACAGCACATTCCTTCGCTTTTCCCAATCCCACAGTAATAGTTCTTAAGATGTAAAATATATTTTATATGTTAATACATATTTATTGTTTAAGACCTAACACATTTTGGAAAAATTACAATACTTGTACAATCTATGATTAAAAGCCATAATCTTATATTAGCGATATAATATTTTATTTTAAAATAAAAATAAAATAACTTCTTTTAGCTAAGAGGTCCTTCTTTTAAAATTTAAAAGTGGCGGCTTATTTAGCTTCATCACTATATTATCAACAGAAACTAGGTCTTTATACTGAAACGTAGTGGTTATTGTGAAATTCCTCAGAACCCTGGCCAAGGCGATCTTTATCGATATTTGGGCGTATTTCCAGCCTAAAAATAAAAAATATATGCTGTTTAACTATTAGATGTTAAACAAGTAACGAACCTATGCAATTTCTCCTTCCCTTTGAAAACGGTATGAAAGCATAGGGATGTCGTTGGCGATCATCAACGGCCAAAAAACGATCAGGATTGAAGCTGTCGGCGTCATGCCCCCAGAGGTCTCTATTGCGGTGCATATTAAATATATCTATACCCAATATGACTCCTTTGGGAACTAAGACTCCATTAGAAAGGAAAAAGTCTTCGGTTGCATCTCTTATACTAAATGGGATGGGCGGGAACAGACGCAAGGTTTCATTAAAAACGTGATCTAGGTATAACAATTTCTGGAGGTCTTCGTGCTCCACTTCGAAATCACCACCAGCTGGAAAGACTCCTTTAAGCTCCTCGAAGACGAGTTCCTGGTATTTGGGAAACATGGCGAGGAGAATCAAATTATGATTGACGGTGACAGATGTAGTATCGATTGCAGCTTGAATAATGTTACAGCACTCTCCTCTTATTTCTTCAAAACTTATTTTCCCTTTGCCATAGAGCTCCATTAATTGGCATATGACAGATTTGGATGTCGAAACCGAATAACTTTCTGGTTTCGAAAGTAATTTATTATCAATAATCTGGTTGGAAAACTTGATTTTTAATCAATTTTAATGTGGTTTGGACTACTTACTTTACTGAGATGGGTATTAATTTTTTTTGTTTTCTCTTCCAAACCAAAAATGTTGGATACCGTGTTATTTTGACAGAAAGGTATCAACACTTTAATAACGATCATATTCACGAGGCTGCAATGATGTTTTGAATTATTACCTTTCATTTTTAATTGATATGGGCAATTTTCTTACGATGCCCAAGACTCTAAGATGGCTTTGGTCCTTAAATTCCTTTCCTCTGTCTGTGTAATGTCCAATGTTGTCTCTATAGTTAATAAAGCATGGAAGTAAGAACATAAATAGTTGCCAAATGACTTACGATGAGCAATACTGAAGGACCATCTAACTAATTGTGGTAGCAAATCAGTTTCTCCTTGGCCCACGATAGAGTCAATTTGAGAAACCAGAAGACGAGACTCCGCGTTAAAAATGGAAAGAAAGCTGAGCAACACATTTTGCTTAAAACTGGCGTTCAAAAGTTTTCGTCGTTTTATCCATGAAGTACCTTAAATGTTTAACAAAGTGTTTCAAATTCAAAAAAAAATTTCAAAAGTTTTTCGTAAGACAGTTTTAAACCTTTTAATGACAATAATCCGGGTCCTAGCACACTACCAATCGCTTTGGTTACTCGTGAAGTTCTATGAAGGCATTGGGGAGATGTTAAAACATCCTCAGCGATCTTTGGATCCCTGGACAATATGACTGGTTGAATTCCGATCCAGGTTAAAAGTGTTGAGCCATACTTGTCCATGTACATGGTTCTCTGATTCATTTTAACTAAGAGTAAGACAGGCTATCTTAGTGTTAAATGGATTCTTTTGGCTTAACTTTTTTACTAACACTTGTTTATGATGAAGTCGGGTGCTGAGCCGAGAAAAGGCAGCCCTAAAGGTCCTGGCAACTTAAGCATAAGCTTGTAATACCTGCGACGTGTCCATAAAAAGTATATTATCACAACTAATCCAGCTATACACAATATGGGTGAAATTGGCATGTCGGTTGATTTGCTTTTGTCCCGAAACGAACAATATCGAACGAATGTTGATTCTTTCTATATGAGTTCTGTACACAGGCTACAACGTAATTTATAAAAAAGCTAGAGAGGATTTCCAAAGTTGTACTCGTAATTTATATATTGCTTACCTGGAAGGTGTTCTTAAGATACAATATATAATAGCCATTTTAAAAATTTTTCATAAAAATATATAAATATTTGTATTTATTTTTAAAAACTCTTATATTAAACTCTAATTCAATTTTTGTTCTTTTTTACAGGCTAAATTTATTGAAGTGTATTTAACGAGTTTCTATTTATATTTAAGCCAACTCTTTAATTTCGTAAGTAATTAAATTTTTTTATTAGTTAAACAACGGCAAAATAGCTGAGCAAGTTTTTAGCTGAAATCAACAAAATTTTAGGTTAACCTAAAAATGACGCAAATGGCGAATATAATTGGCTAACCCCAATAGGAAATTAAGTATTAAATCAATTATAGCATGAACTTTACACAAGTACCAAGCAACTAACTTTAAAAAAACCAAAGATCCAAGAGTCTACTTTTCGGAGAAACAGACAGACATCATCAGGTACTGAATTTTATTATACCCTTGCAGAGGGTATTATAATTTTGGTCAAAAGTGTGCAACGCAGTGAAGGAGACATCTCCGACCCTATAAAGTATATATATTCCTGATCAGGATCACCTCCTGAGTTGATATGAGCATGTCCGTCTGTCCGTCTGTCCGTCTGTCTGTTTCTACGCAAACTAGTCTCTCAGTTTTAAAGCTATCGTCTTGAAACTTTGCACACACCCTTCTTTCCTTTGCACGCAGTATATAAGTCGGAACGGCCCGGAGCGGCCGACTATATCCTATAGCTGCCATATAACTGATTGATCGGAAATGGTATAACTTCGGTGTTTTTAGAGTTAGAGAGTTCAAATTTTACACGAGCGCTATTTTTGGCAAAATAATACGACATGCCAAATTTCGTAAGGATCGGCCGACTATATCCTATAGCTGTCATATAACTGAACAATCGGAAATGACCCAACTTTCGTGTTTTTAAAGATAGAAAGCTGGAACTTGGTACAGATTATATTCTTGGTCAGTTAATCCGATTTACCAAATTTCATAACGATCGGCCGACTATATCTTATAGCTGCCATATAACTGAACGATCGGAAATGGTTTTTGGTAGATATATCAACTTTCGTATTTTTGAAGATAGAAGTTTGGGACTTTTTTTAGATTTTGTATTGTAATAAATTGGATTATATATTCCTATTCCCATAAGGATCGGCCAACTATATCCGATGTTTGCGATATATATCCGGTTTTAACTGCAAGGGTAGCTTTTCTTTCTTGTTTTTTTCCAAATTTGTTTGTTTTACTTTTAAAGTAAAAACGGAAATGAGTAAAAGATAAATATTCTTGTTTGGTCTAATGGTTTTCTTTTTATTAGACTTGCCGAGAAGATGCTCTTTTGCTCAGCATCTCCCTTTAAGTCGATATACCTTTTAACTTTTAGGTTTTGATACATTTTTTCCAGTTTATTGTTTTCAAAATAAAGTTTTCTTATCAAACTAAGTATTCCTTCGTATAAATTGTAGTAATGGAGCTTTGCCAAGCTTCATTGATATATTATCAATAAAAACAAGGTCTTCGTAACGAAAACTAGTGTTGAGTTTGTAATTTCTGACAATCCTGGACAACGCGATCTTTAAAGATATTTGGGCGTATCTCCAGCCTGTAAAAAATGGTTAATTAATGGTGGCTAAAAACTATTTATGAAACAATCAACGAACCTATGCAGTTTCCAGTTCCTTTTGAAAAGGGTATGAAGGCGTATGGATGGCGTTGGCTAACATTATCAGGCAAAAAACGATCAGGATCGAAGGTGTCGGCATCATGGCCCCAGAGGTCTTTGTTGCGGTGTAAGTTGAATATGTCTATACTCAATATGACTCCTTTGGGAATAAAGACTCCATTTGAAAGACGAATGTCCTTCGTTGCATCTTTTACAATTATTGGGACGGCGGGAAATAGACGCAAGATTTCGTTTAAAATGCGATCTAGATATACCAACTTCTGGACATCCTGATGCTCTACTTCGAAATCTTCACCAGCCGGAAAGACTTCTTTCAGCTCTTCGAAAAGAAGTTCCTGGTACTGGGGAAACATGGCCAGGATAATGAGTGCATGATTGAGGGTCAGAGCTGTGGTCTCGAAAGCAGCTATAACCATGTTACAGCACTCTCCCTTGACTTCATCTAAAGTTATTTCGCCAATTCGATAAAGTTCCATGACTCTGTTGATGACAATTTTCGACGATAAATCCGTACTGCTTTGCGATTTTAAATTTAACTTTGAGTCAAGAATCTAGTTCAAAAATATTATATTTCGATAGTATTTGCATTGGTTTGCGTTGGTTGATTTGTTATTCAATAACTTACTTTATTCATAAAAACATCAATCTTTGAAAACGGCTGATTTCTTTTCTTTTCCACGCCAAAAATTTTACTAATTATTTTATTACGTAAAAGAGGGTAGAATGCTTTAAGAAGAATGTAAAACGTCAGCCTATAAAAAAAATTTTAATGACTTTAAATTTTGAATATGGGAAAATTTGTCTTACGAATGCCAAGACTCAATAAGCTTATTGTTTTTAAAATTTGTTTCATCTTTAACATCAGTGTCCAATAATGTTTCTAGAGTAAAATAATTATTAAGAAAGTAATTAATATATTATAATAAAACTTACGATGGGAAATACTGAATGACCACCTGTATAAATACGGCAAAAAATCGGTTTCACCTTGACCCACGAGAGTGTTCAGTTGTGTTAACAATGTTTTCGTCTCAAAATTAAAAACGGGAAGAAAACTGAGCAAAACATTTTGCTTAAAACTGGCATTCATGTGCTTCCGGCGTTTAGTATAGGGAGATTCTAAATAATTAGTTTCATAAATAAAAAAAAATTGGGAAAAAGTTATTGCGAACCTTGAAGTGATAACAATCCCGGTCCAACGATATTTTCTATAGCCTTTGCCAACCGCGAACATCTGGTAACGCATTGGGGTGCCGTTAGAAGATCTTCAGCGATCTTGGGATCTCGGGTAACTATAATTGGTTGAATACCAATCCAAGTCAAAACTGTTGATCCATACTTGTCCATATACTTGTTTCTCAGATTCATATTGACTAAATGTTAGAAAGGTTAGTTTACTGTTGAACGGTTTAAAAATATTTTGTTTACGCTTATTAATGAAATATTCTGGTGCTATGCCGAGAAAAGGCAATCCTAAAGGTCCCGGTATCTGAAGGATTAGCTTGTAATACCTTCTCCGACTCCATAAGAAATATATGAGCACTAGTACTCCGGCGAAAACCGAAATAGGATGCATGGTGCTTTATTTTAGAAGTTTGGGTAATTAAACAACTCGGATGTGTTTTGGTTACTAAGCTTCTGACAATGTTTTATTGAAGCTTTTATAAAAAAAGTACACTTATGGAGGGCCATCATGGTTTATTTGGATGCGTGACCTCCTATTTATATAAAATAAGCTTTTTATATTAATTACCCCTAACAAAATGCATAAAAATGGGGCTTTGCTACAAAAACATGAGCTATTAAAACTACAGTTGGCGGACATTCAACTCTGACTGAAAGTTATCAAATATGTTCTGATCGGAATAAAAATAAAATTATCGGTATGCCAAAGCTTAGCAAAACTAAAAACAAAAAATAAACAACAAATCAAATCACAAATAGAAAAAAACATTTAAAACGTTATGGGTAAATTAATCCAAAATTGTAGAAACAATTTTTATTGCATTATTTTGCATGAAATTTTTGAACTTTAAACTGGCTGGCTGAAGACATTTAGGGGTGAATTCTGTGTTCTCACCCTATAAGGGAAAACCCCATTTTCAAGGGATCCCATCACGAAAAAGGGACAAAAAATCTAAAAAATATGTTGTCCTAGGGTTTTGATGCAGAACGGTGGAGAATTGATGCAAAAATCGTTTAAGATACTCCGCTTGAGAATCGGATGAGAATTGGGGAAGATATATCCATCACTGTGGACCCTATAGGGGAAAACCCCATTTTCATGGGATCCTATCACGAAAAATTGACCAAAAATCTGAAAAAGATTTTGTCTCAGGATTTTGATGAAGAATGGTGGAGAATCGATCCAGAAATCGTTAAAGGTACTTCGCCTAAGAATCGGATGAGAATGGGGGAAGATATAGATATCATTGTGGACCCCATAGGGGAAAACCCCATTTCAACCCCAATTTTCCTCACTGCGTCACATATATTTTGCAAAGAAACACAGAAAAAACTTGGATATCATGTTTTAAGACCATTTTTTGAATTATTCAAATAAACTAGATTAGGTGGTCCTTCGGTTAAAGTTAAGAAGTGGAGCTTTATCCAGTTTAATTACTATATTATCGATAAAAGCTAGGTCTTCATACCGAAAACTAGTATTGAAACTGTAATTTCTGACAATCTTGGCCAAGGCGATCTTTAAAGATATTTGGGCGTATCTCCAACCTGAAAATAATTAAATATTGCTGGCTGAACATTTCATATTAAAAAAAATAACAAACCTATGCAATTTCTCTTTCCCTTTGAGTATGGTATGAAGGCGTATGGATGTCTTTGGCGAATATTATCAGGCAAAAAACGATCAGGATCAAAGGTATCGGCATCATGGCCCCAGAGGTCTCTATTGCGGTGTATGTTAAATATATCTATACACAATATTACTCCTTTAGGAATTAAGACTCCATTTGAAAGGCGAAGATCCTCCTTTGCATCTCTTATACTTATTGGGATGGGTGGAAATAGACGCAAGGTTTCGTTTAAGACGCGATCTAGATATACCAATTTCTGGACATCCTCATACTCAACTTCCAAGTCTCCACCAGCCGGAAAGATTTCTTTCAGCTCCTCGAAAAGAAGTTCCTGGTACTGGGGAAACATGGCCAGGACAATAAGTAAATGATTGAGGGTCAGAGCTGTGGTCTCGAAAGCAGCTAAAACCATGTTACATGACTCTCCCTTGACTTCATCTAAAGTTATTTCGCCATTTCGATAGAGTTCCATAACTCTGTTGATGGCAATATTCGGCGATAAATCCTTACTGCTTTCCGATTCTGAATGAAGTCTTAAGTCAATAATCTGTTTTAAAAAGATATCAATGAAGAAGATAAGAATGCAAATATGGAATAAGTCGCTGATTTTTAATTGGATTACTTACTTTATTCATCAAAACATCAATCTTTGAAAAAAGCTGAGTTGTTTTGTTTTCCACTCCAAAAATTTTACAAATTTTAGTATTGCGGAAAAGAGGCAAGAACACTTTAAGAAGGATGAAAAACGCAAGCCTATAAAAGTATGGTATTGAAAATTTTATATATGAATATGTGTATTTTTTCTTACGAATTCCAAGATTCAATAAGGGTGTTGTTTTTAAAATTTGTTTCATCTTTTACTTCAGTACCCAATGTTGTTTCTAGAATGAATGTTAAGAGTTAAGTATAAAGCCATTATACCCTGATAAAACTTACGATGAGCTATACTGAATGACCACCTGTATAAATGCGGCAAAACATCAGTTCCATTATGACCCTCGAGAGTGTCCATTTGTGTTAGCAGGTTTTTCGTCTCAGAATTAAAAATAGAAACAAAACTGAGCAATACATCTTGTTTAAAACTGGCGTTCATGTGCTTTCGTCGTTCAGTCCAGGCAGAGTCTAAATCATATCTTTCATAAATTGAAAAAATGTTTTAAAGCTTGGAACTTTTTGCTTACCTTGAAGTGTCAAAATGCCCTTTCCAAAGATACTTTCCATAGCCTTTGTTACCCGCGAGCTTCTGTTAAGGCACTGCGGTGCGGTAAGAAGATTCTCAGCAATCTTGGGATCTCGAGAAACTAAAACTGGCTGAATACCAGCCCAGGCCAAAATTGTTGAGCCATATTTCTCCATAAACTTGGTTCTGTGTTTTATATTTACTAAATGAAAGCTAGGTTTTGTTAGTGTTGGATGTATTTGGACTCATTATTTTACGCTTATTTATGGCATATTCAGGAACCGAGCCGAGAAGAGGCAGTCCTAAAGGTCCGGGTATCTGAAGCATTAACTTGTAGAACCTCCGTCGACTCCATAAGAAACAAAATAGCACCAATAATCCAGCAAAAATCAAAATAGGAGGCATGATTCTTGAATTGAGGTATTTTCTCGGTTTTGGGAATCCAACGCCTCAGATCTTTTTTGTTATACTGAGCTTCTGACATGATTTCAATCATGCTTTTATAGAAAAAGTAGATATATGTATGTATGTATAGTGGGCTATCAAGTTTTATTTTAAAAGGTTGACCTCCATATTATAATCAAATTATTTTTTTACATCAATAACTCTTAACAAAACGCAACAAAATTGTCTTGGTTTTATTAGCAAAATATAAGGTACTTAAACTGTTTATGTTACTTAAACGCTAAATAAGTTAAAGAAATTAAAGCCGAGAGTTTATAATTGTTCGAATTCAAAAGTGTTGTCATCGGAATTAAAACATCAAGGTCAGTTTAAAAAATTTGTGTTATGGCTGGAGCTCAGATAAGCTAAAGCACCGTTAAGCTTCTGTTTATAAAATAAAATTTGATGACATAATAATAGGAATATAATAATTAAGAATATTTCATTTTCATGGTTTATCTATTATCATAAAAATTTAACTATACTACTCACGCTTGCTTAAAAGCGTACTAAGATATTTTTAAGATGATTATGTGTACGATCCGGAAGCCCTAGTGTGTGCGATGAGGCTATTATATGGTATGCAGTAGCTACCATATATACATACATATGCATATATAACTATCGGTGTAAGACCTATCTAAATAAATATTTAGGCCAATCGTTAAAATTAGACCAAGGAGGAGTACCTAGGATCTTAGGTGAAAATCTAGTTGTGGCAATTTACCAAGCTTTATTCCTATATTATCGATGAAAACGAGATCTTCATACCGAAAACTTGTGCTTAACTTGTAGTTCCTGAGAATCTTGGCCAAGGCAATCTTTGCAGACATTAAGGCATATCTCCCTCCTGGAAATAAACAGATAAGCCTAAAATAATTTCGGGGTATTTTAAATATAACGAACCTATGCAATTTCTTTTTCCTTTCGAAAATGGTATGAAGGCATAAGGATGACGATCACGGACTTTCTCGGGAAGAAAGTGATCGGGATTGAAGGTGTCGGCATTAGGGCCCCATACATCCTTGTTGCGGTGAATGTTAAAGATATCTATGGTCGTTGCTACTCCAATCGGAACAATGACACCATTTGAGAGCCGAAGATCATGCTTTGCCTCTCGCATTACTACCGGAACGGGGGGTATTAGGCGGAGGGTTTCATTTACAATCCGATCCATATATACTAATTTTAAAAGGTCTTCGCTGGCCACATCGAATTCCCCAGAAGTCGGAAAGACACTCTTCAGCTCCTCGAAAGCAATGCCCTGGTACTCGGGAAATATGGCCAGGAGAATAAGAGTATGTGTGACTAAAAGAGCCGTGGTTTCTAATGAAGCAATTACCATACTATTACATTCCCCTTTTATGTGATTGTAACCTATTTGGCCGCTTTGAAATTGGTCAACCAGTCGGTTTATTACAATTGGGGAATCTGGGTCATTTGGCGAGTTTAGTTTTTGTTCAAGTACCTGGATATAAATATTGAGTAGTAACATATATGCATTAGATCTTCGTTTTAATATGATCTACTTACGTCGTTCATGAAGGCGTTAATCCTATCTAAATGCCCTACTTTGCGTCTCTTGAACCCCAATATGGTTGAAAGTATGGTGTGTCGACAAAAAGGAAGAGCTATATTCAGCATCGTAACCATCAAAAGCCTAAATATTAAAAACAAAATATTAGATTTTCCAAATATTTTTCCGGTTATGAGCTTACGATTGCCAAGATTCAATGAGCTTATTGACTTCATCTTCCTTGACTTTAGTGTCCAGTATGGTTTCTATAGTAAATGTTCAGGTTAAGGAATGTAAATATTTTAGAATGACAGACTTACGATGACTAGTTTGGAATGACCACCTTAGCAAGTGGGGCAGCACGTCCGTTCCTTTTTGGCCCACAAAACGTTCCATTATGTTAACCAATATTGTCGCCTCCGAATTGAAAATGGGTAAAAAGCTTAGAAGCACATTAGGTTTAAAAGAGGAGTTTAAATTCTTGCGATGCTGCTGCCATTCCGGTTCTAAAATGTGGCTTCTAACTATTTAGATAAGAATAGATTAATTTAAGGTACCTTTCATGGTTAACAATCCTCTTCCCGCAAAAGTATCAGAAATGGCCTTGGTTATCAGAGAGGTTCTATTAAGGCATTGTGATGATATGAGAATATCCTCGGCTATTTTTGGATCCCGAGTCAATAAAACTGGTTGTATACCCATCCAAATTAGAATAGTAGATCCGTACTTGTCCATATGTTTCGTTCTTTGAATAATTTGGACTGTATTTTTAGAGGACTTGATTAGAAATGAGTTTACGGTGATATAAGAGAGCTCACGTTTATTGATAACATATTCGGGGATTGTGCCGAGAAAAGGAATTCCCTTGGGTCCTGGTATTTCAAACATCAGTTTGTAGAACCGTCGTCGACTCCACAAAAAATGAATCCATAGTAATATTCCAGCGGCTAGCCAAAAATAAAAGGGGATCATAATATTCAAGTTCGATGGAAACGAACACTTCAAGGTATTTTTGTTTACTAAGTTGGCGCTTGAGTTACGGCTTTGGCTTTTATAGAACAGGGTGGGCTAAGCTAATAACTAACACCATAACTTACATACAACAATTTATTTAAAATGTAATTACACCTTCACCTGAGAAAAGTTTCATAATAAGTTAACAATGTACGGAACAGTCTTACAAAGGGCTTTAGCATCTGTAGTGGGTTGTTTACTTCCGAATAGTAAATGTGTGTTTCCATTTTCCATTTGGCACCTCCCCTCAGTATCGAAGCCATCCATCATCCGAACTGGGACAAAAAGCAATTAAGCTTACCAGGCTAAGGCGTTGCTTACCAGGCTAAAACCCGAACGCTTCAGACAAGAAGCTGAACCCCAACAGGTAACATTGATCGGAGCGTGTGTGGGGCAATTAAAGCCACAAAAAATGTCAGCGGCGATAAATTGTCTTTAAGTGCGTTCCCCGGAAAGTTGTCAAAAAGTGTTAGAAATTTTCACCGCCACTGCCGCAGCCACACACAAAATGGAAAAAAAACCAAAAATCGATGTGTCTCAAGGTGTTCCAAGGTGTGCCCACAAACATGACTACGGCACACGCAATCCCCCTCGGCCCCATTCGAGATGCCTTTGGAGGGGACCATAGGAGGCTCCATGTCTGGGGTTTGATAGCTCCGCGATAAGCAACATTACCGTACAATTTTCAATTAACACGAAAAGAAAAGCTTTGAGGAAGAGTGGAGAAGAGGGGATTCTCTGATAAATTCCAGGCAGCCCGGCGCTTGCGGTCACAAACTGTTTGCCGGAGCCCCAACAAATTGTCTAATCTAATGCTCGGGACGAGAGCCTCCAGCCTTTGGCATTGAGAGGAGACCACTGAGTCCTCGACCAGGTTGAATCTGATCTATGGTCGCCGTTAGTGTCGTCGGCAGTGAAAAGTTGGCGACCTGCTCAGGCAAAATATTCACAAACAAAAAAAAGAAAAGAAAACACCGGCCGGGAAAATAATCGACAAACGCCCGACAAGCCAACTGCCTGTGTAGGCTATTTATCATCTCGACTGGGACTTCGTTTTCGCCTCCAGTTCAGTACAGTGGCCGTAAAAGCTTCTTTATGACTGCTTCTGTACTATGGTCCATGGACACGGGTCCTCCTCGGCCCGTGGAAATGGAAGTCGCACCAAAAGGCACAAATCTTAAGTTTTACGTCTTGACTCAAAATGACAGCTTTTCATTTTTGCTAGAGCATTTCGGGGCTCTTAAGAAGTTTTATTATTCTGGAACAATGTTATTTTTTTTGGATAGATTGAGAAATACCTAGTACATAAAGAAAAAAAATGTCTAATTGTATGGTCTGCATTTATTTCATTTCTCTTGACCAAAACCAAATTAAAAATCGGAAAAAGTAAGATCAAGCCACGCCACTTTTCCTATTAGATGCGGCGCTTTCATCATTTTCAGTGGGCGCGTGAGGAGTTCAAAGGTGGCCCAAATGACAGCTTGGCCAAAACAATATAGCTACCGCACAGCTGCAACTGCAATTGAAAGTGCAGCTTCAATCGAGGAGATGATGATGGAGATGCCTCGATGGAAAGACACACACACGTCCGCTGGCCGTGAACTCTGCTCGCCTAACCCCTTCCTGATTTTTTTCTTGAATTTCGGTTTGCGCCTGCGGCAATTTCAGCACCTGGCGGCGAAATACATGTGTGTGCCACTTGCAGAGATCATTTTCCATTTTCTACTGCGCCGCGAATTGGTTTCCATTTGCGTAAATTGAAAATGAAGCGGAAAAAAGGATGCAGACACCTGCAAAAATTAAGCCGGAACAAAAAATTTGCGGGAAATTAGTTTGTAAACAGAAATTCCATATCACACACCCACATATGAGCACATACGACTTAGTTCGGAGGAAGGATGCGTGCTGAAGTACCCACCCAGCGGGCTACGTGGACATGGACATGCATGCGATTCCATTTTGATAATAATGCCAAATAATTATAATGATCGTGATCCCCACGATCGGGCTCAGATGGTAGATGGGCCTGGTCGATGGGAGCTCGGACCTGACCAGTGACTAAGCAATTTACCGTTTCTTTGCCGGGTATAGATTTCTGGGGCCAGACCTCGGGCACATCTTCAATGAAATTTCAGGTCAATTGTCTTGCGGCGGCTGCGTTTGCGTTTTTTGCGTGTTTTTTTGTGGTCTGGGATCCAAACTCAAAGACCGAATGTTAAGCCGAAGCTGGGACCCAGACCTAGAGCCACAACCAGACTTGAACCGCAGCCAGTTCTTGCCCAGTTCAATTGCAATTTCTATTTTCGTATTTTCGTGCTGGCGAATTCTCCGACATCTAGACAGCACTTCCCCCCGCAGCCCGATCTTGGGATTCTTCTGCCTGCGTAGGCGCTTTCACAGATTAATTGAAGTCATAAGCAATTGTAAACTTATCGCTTTTCGGTCTGCCCGATCCGTCCACTAGCTGGATAATGCCATAATGTTCCCTCTGCGGTTTCCCCATCCCCATCTCCGATATTCCATCTTGCAAGATCGTCGGACCCGACCGGCTTTATCGATTTGCAGTAGGAAAATTGCTGGTGGTGTTGGCGTTTCGTTAATTTGTTGCTATATTTGATTGTGGCACACTTTGCGCAATTATTTGATTGCGTTTCTATTAAGTCCCGATACAGTTCAAGAGTTCAACAATCAGTAGCCTCTCCAGTTGGCATCGATTATGTGGCCCGGTATCGAGGTTAACATCTTTTCATCGTTAAATAGAATGAAATTTTCGAGAATGAAGATTTGCAATACTATTATTCGTGGTTTTTATGAGTAAAAAAAACTTTGATTTGGATTGAAAAGATATACTTTCGTTTCAATTTAACATATTTGCCACTTACCAGTCATCACACAAACGCCAGGACATCCAACAGCTCCAGCGAACAAAGGCAATAATAAAGTTTCGCCATCCATGACAATGGAGGAAGCGCCAAAGGCAGCAATTATTGCGAGTGTCGGGACCGGGACTCGCGTGGAGCGAAAGGATAAAAGCCGGATGCTGAAATATGGGTAATAAATGCGCCACGGCAAGATGATACACTTATCCACACATGATGAGTTAAATGGCAAATGCTAATGGAAATATGACAAGGAAGCCGCACTTCACATCCTTCAGGCATATACATATGCAAATATAATTCTAAATGTGCGCGGAGGATGTGCGCCATGTGAATTTAGTGGATACGGAAGCTGTGCGGCAGTTAAACATGGCGTCCTGCGATTTTATTGCCGTCTTGAAAGTTTGCTTACGCTTTGCGGCATAAATGAGCCCACCGCACAGATACAGATACATTCTGAGGCAGTGGCGAAGTGGCAAGCCGCATTGAAATTCATGGAGCAAACCCCCAATCTGGGAGCTTGGAGCGTGCCCGAAGCGTTAATCTGAATCAGAGTACATATGGGCCTATATGGCTAAGGGATTTGCCCCATCCTGGAACATATGTTTGCTTGTTCTGCCCCGCTGCGACTGCTAAATTACAGACAAACAATTAAAATGTTTATGCGGCTTAAATTGAAAATTAATGGCTGCTTTGTTGCTCGTCTTTTGTGGTTTTAATTAATTTTTTGTTTTGCTGAAATTACCCACATATGTATGCAAATTATGCAGAATGTCTTGGCATGCCTGGAGAAATGTTTGCCAGTTAAGTAGGTACAGCCGAGGAATTCAGTCCGTTTCTAGTAGAGACAATCATTAGCAGATTGATAAATGGATTTTTGCCACAAATTTGACAAATTCGCTAATCAAACAGAATGCTGGCAGGACATCTTTCACTTGGAGTTCCTTCCGTCCGACAGTTGAAAGGTGTTTTTAATTACTCCGAGTAGTTGACAAAGGAACAATTAAGGTTCAACTGGGACAGCTCAGGACAGCATTTAACCGAATGGAAAAGTGCAAATATTGTCAGAACGAAAGCAGGACGGAGGGAAGGGTGACTGTGAGAGAGTGAATGTAACCCACACAGGACCAGGACATCATTAGTGCCCCCAGGAACGAGGGCTGAGGGAACGGGGATGCTCGCTGCCCGACTTTTCATCCTTCAAAGACAAAGTCAAAGACGAAGTCGACCAGGGCGTTTGTATTTAAGGAAATTGACATTTCTGGCAAACGGCTGGCGCAATGCAAACAACCGAGAGCCAGGCAAGATTTCCTAAAACTAAAATAATTTGCTAATATTTGCACAGCTACAGCGCAAAGTTGAGAATCCGCTGCCGCAGTGCGCCACATCATTAATTACTTGAGGCACAAGCTGCGAGCTGTCTTGGGAGTGGATGAAGCTCGAGCTGAGAATTGAACTGCCATGAAAAGGTTCTTAATTAATAGGAATTTTCGCAGAGGAATT